GGCGAACATTTCGATAAATGTAAATGAATCATAACATAAGGCCTATACTTAAGAAGAGCAATTTAATTTCAATCAGAATCATAAGAAAAATAGGATTAACATTTTATCATTATTACATTGCGGTTCGAGTCCCGCCGCCGCACTAAAAAAGTCCTTTGGCAAGTCATTGATCTACATTTGCCACACTCCACCCAGGTGAAGTAAATGGGTACCTGGTACTCTGTTAATGTAAAGGAGCTAATTTCCGCTCGTCGAGGAGTGTGGTTAGGGACCACTCCTTTTGGAGTGAAATTTGGACGGAATTCACCCTCAAAAGATGTAAAGTTAGCTCTTAAAAGACGATAAATTCAGTCTTTTAGAAAAAAATCTGTCTTTTTGGAGTGAACTTTACATCTTTTGAGGGTGAATTCCGTCCAAATTTCACTCCAAAAGGAGTGGTCCCTAATCACACTCCTTGACGAGCGGAAATTAGCTCCTTTACATTAATAGAGTAAGAATTTATTCCTTGAAATGCTAGAGCGCCGTATGGCAGCCGTGCTAAAGCCAGGGTAATAATCGGGAGCGCCAGGAGGGTCAGATCTGACTGATATGTGCGCTATACAAGAACCCATTATTATTATTATTTAGCACTCTGGAAGGCCTATGAGCCTGCATGAATATATAATTCTAAGCATTTTAGGTTTTAAAGATTTTACATCTTGCTATGAGACGGTTTTGTTATGATAATAAACACTGATTTATGCTTGCCGGACTGAAAACAAGCAAATATCAGGTGTCAATAATTATATTTTCACACAAACAAAATTGATTCCACCGAAACTTTTAAAAGTACAGTCTATCATAAAAAGGAAAGAAGAAAAAGAAACTTTAAAAAAAACCAAGTCGTATCTTTCCAGCGGTATTCCATGAACTTTAAGCTTCACTTTTGGAAGAGGGTGTTTCTGTTCATCAAAATATCGAACTATATTTTATATATATTTTGTTTGTTTGCTCGGGAAAGGGTGAAAATACAAATAATGAAAATACGTAATGAAGTAGCTGCGGAAACACTGTATACACCCAAAATACTACCCCCCCCCCTACCATCACCACAACTGAATACCTTACCTGTCCGTGTATCCGTCTCGTTGACTTCAAAGACGACCGAGCCTGAGAGGATGAAATAGAAAGCGAGCCCGGGGTGGCCCTGCTTGACGATCAACCGCCCGGCCTCGAAGGAATCGAAGTATAAAACGCCCGCCAGTTCATGCCGGATGGTCTTCGAGTAGCGGTTGAAACTTTTTAGCTGAAAGGAGCAAAGAGACATTGAAATTCATATCCGAATATGAAAATTCAAGAATCTTTGATAGCAGAATTTGTTGGTACATAAAATAATATGACTATCAAGTTTTATTTTATACAGTAATTTGAGTTGACACATGAACGATTTCTCGAAAAGGATAGGGATTGAACTTTTATTAAATGTTGTCGATGTCTAGGATGAATGCAAAAGGAGGTAAGAGGAAATATTAAGAAAAAAATACAACTTCATGCAATCAAATAGTTTAAGTGTGATCGTTCATGAAGACATGACTTGTAAGGTCATTATGGATCTATATACCAAATTAAGTTCATTGACATTAATTATACATCAACATCTTGATATACAGAACATGAGTACCGACTACTGAATATGAAATATCTAACGAAGACAATTTACATGATAGTATGGCCAAAAGAGGTGGTATTAATCATAAAGAATAAATGATCAGAAAAGAGAGAGAAAAAGAGAGAGGGAGATAAAAAGAGAAAGAGAGAGAGAGAGAGAGAGAGAGAGAGGAGGGGAGAGAGGACGCAGAGGGAAGACTTCGATAATTATTTTCAAAAGCCAAACTGAGCGTTTTGAAATTACCCTATCAACAAAACCGTAGAGATAGTGGAGCTCTTCTTTGGTCCTCTCCCACGTTTCCTTCCTCATGATCTTCTTGGCCCGTGGGGGCAGCGTGCTCACCGACTGGACGTTCGATTTAAAGGCACTGACGTCGAAGGTGAGGACGTTCTCCTCCGCGCCGTCGGCCTGACGGACCGTGAACGATTTCGAGTCTTCCTCGGTGGGCAGGAGCTTGGACCACCTGAGGTTGTGCTTGACCTTGTTGGCGATGGCCCGGAACTTCTGCAGGGGCGTCCGATGTTTTTCCGGCTTTCGAAAGACAGAAGTATGATGTTAAGTTTTTATGGGATATGTCTGCACATATGTTAAAATAATACACAGATTGGGATGTAGAAAAGCGTGAAATGAGAAGATGAAATGGGGGGGGGGGGGGGGGGAATGAATCCATTAAGGTAAGAAATCGAGAGGCATAAGAAACTTGAAAGAAAACAAGTAAGGACATTTATAAATAAAGTAAGAAAAAAAGAACATATTAAGAAAAAAAGGTAGTAAGAAAGAAAAAGGAAAGGAGGAAGGAAGACATAAAGTGATGTTAAAAAAAAAGGAATGATAGAGTAGGAGAGAGATTAAACTAGAGATAGGGGAGAAAGAAGAATAGAAAGTCGAGGGACAGAAAGTGGGGATCTTTTTCTTTATATGAATTATTAAAAAGTAATGGTTTGGAGACAAAGTCTAAGAGTAAAACATGGAGAAGCGTATGAATAGAATTATCATCTCATTCAAACGTTGGTGACGTACAGTTATTCCTGAGTATATTACCGACGCAACCGAAACAGAACAGAAAAACATATTATTTCGGGCAATTAAAACTAGATAAAACATGAAATGTTATGTATTCATTTATTTAATTTTTGTTATTGATCGTATCGTATACCTGCCATAGCAATTGATTTGAAGAATATCATACTCCGGTCATTTCTGCCATGATCCAATACACTTCACTTTTCTTGCTTAGGACCTGACTACATTAAATTAATTATAAATTATTTTAACATACAATTAAACAAATTACGTCACCCCCCCCCCCCCCCCCCCCCCCCCAAAGCAAACTGAATTTTAAAAAAGAAGAAAAGTTTTACTTGATTATTCTCTGCGTCCTTGTCATCGGCATCAGAGACTTTCTCAATCCCTAGCCCTTCAGGGGGTGACCTTTCGACTAGAGCCTGGATGAGAGCACTCGCTTCCACCAGCGTCTCCGTCGTCGCACCACCCCTCCTCCTCCTCATATCGGGATTCATGATCATCATCATGTCCTCGGTGTTGAGGTCTTCAAGCTCCTCGTCCTGGAATGCGTCGTCGTACATGTTGACTACGTGGTTTTCTTTCCTTCTAAAATATTTGATTGTCACGAATTTTTATTGATTTTTGCACAATAAAGGGGAAAGTTTTTGCTTTTCTTTTATAAGAAGGACAAACACTGAATTGTGAATTGTAAGTTTAGGGACTATATGAATATATCAGGTTACGAGCATTCCAAAAAGTTTACGGTGTTGCAAAGATGTCAGCCAGGATATTTTTTTTTCTCCAACGTTGGCATTTCCTATATTATTTAAGATTTAGCGTCTAATTCTGATGCATCATTAAGTCATGTTTGGAAATCATAAACACAGACTTTGTCGTTACGCATTACGTAACAATGGACTTGCGCGTATATAGGTGCGCATGCGTGTTACCAAAATGTCCGGTAAAGGGGTACTTTTCACGCACCAAAGTCCGGCTCGTACATACACAAAATTGACTTTACACACCGGACTTAGGTTAGGGGGTGTTTTCAAAAGGAGGGAAGACGCATATGCGTACCCTTAATAACACTGAGTGGGGGGGGGGGGGGGGGGGGGGCAAAATTCAATTCATAATTTATCAAACACCTTTTTTGTTCGAGTCTTCCATTGCATAAGTTTATAACCTGGTAATATTTTGTATAAATAAAAGTTATTATCAAAATGCACAATTAGAACTCAAAGAACACTTATACTAATTTTGTCTGTTTTTTTTTGTTGTTGGTTGATTTGATACTTTTGGTAGCCAACAGTCATTCGTCAGTTAATCACTTTTAAAAGGTTCTAGGATTAGTGGCGGATCCAGGGGGGGGGGGGGGGGGACCGGGGCCCGTCCCCTGAAAAAACAGGTAAAAAAAAGGGACGTTAATTTTACCTTTATGTGTGTCATTACCATTGTAGTATTGTATTTTCTTTGTCCCCTTTTTGTTTGTTTTTTGTGTACATTTTTAGGATCATCTACTTATAAGTTTTTGTAACTTTTTGATGATCCAACCACTTCGTAATTTCCATTAGTGTATTTTCCATTTTAGTGGTGTATCTATGTTTGCAAAAAAGTATTGTATTGTATTCTTTGCCTTTGTATGTTTTTATGAAAGTGGTAAATAAATAAATTTAAAAAAATAAAAAACGGCCCCCCTTTTATTATAGTTTATACCTATCATGATTTATATAATAAGATCGACGAACAGAATAAACCAAAAATCTAAATGATTGCAATATCAACACCTTTTTCTCAGAGGAATTGGCTATTAGTATAGGCTGGGACCCGGCTGCCAATGATAGCCTAGGCCACTGGCTAATTGACAGTATTTCTAAGTTCTAACCATGGACTTATAATCTAACTATCCATGGCATCATTATGGGGGTGCATGGATTATATATTCATGCTCCCTGCACCCGCCGCGCCCCACCCCTTCGTTACGAAAATACTGATGACATCATTACACTGAATGATGTACAGCCAAGATCTCGAAAACAACACGTGTGTACACACTGATACGGTCCCTGTGCAACCCGACATGTACAAAATTCAAAGTGCTAGATTTTCGTCCCCAAAATTCGAAACCTATACTTTGATGTTTTAACATTTTTTGGAGTGGGATACAACATGTACATGACTATTCATTTATCTTTAATCCCATTTCGAAGTAATTTTTTATTTTATCTCTCAGCTTTTCAATCGTAAAGAACTTTTTATTTCTCTACTTCTCTTGAGGATATTGGGTCGAAGCGCTAAGTATGACATGCTTTTGTTAGGACGAGATGTCCTAGACTCCAACACTGTTACCTGTGAATGAAACGAAGTCGATGAACCCGGCCCGATGTACAAGTGTGTCTGACTCTAATCTCATTCTGCCTGGTAACTTTAATTTTTGATTACTTTTGCACCATGAATTTCAGTGACGGAGGACCTCCTATGCCTTCTGGAGGAGAAGGAGTGGATGCTGAACTGAAACAATTTATAGCAATGGAGACACAAAAGGCAAAGTTTCAACAGCAAGTTCACAATTTCACAGATCAATGCTGGGACAAATGCGTCGATAAACCTGGTTCAAAATTGGACAGCAGAACTGAAACTTGTCTTGTAAATTGTGTGGAGAGGTTCATAGATACCACATTAAACATCGCCAATCGTTTCCAGACTATGCATCAAAGACAAGGAGGCCATTAATCAACTTTGCTGGGGCCGGTAAGTGTCTAGCCTCTAAGCTCTTCACAGGTTGATTAACACGTTGCCCCACCTATTGCGTATTTTGTTTGTAGATTTAATACCTGAAAATCAGCTGGTTCAAGAACTTGACTCGGGACGTCGGGACTTGGGTTTCTTCTATAAATTCAACTTTAAGTATTACAAAACCATGCCTATGGCAGCATTAACGAGGGAGAGGGGTGGGGGGACTTGTAGGTATCCTACAATATTATTTAACAGTTCAATTTTCTTTTTTGAATTCTCAACGACAACGTCAACATGAAATTTCATTCAAATCTAGAATAGCTAGGACTTTTGTTAGCACAACTGAGCTAGCTAGGCAGGGAAGGCCTAAGACTGTCTGTGATATTGATGCATTTCAGTGTAATCCTTTGTCATTCATATTTACCACAGGTACTCACATTTTGGAGGAAGAGGACTAGTTGGAATCATAACTGCAAAAGATGTTTTCAAACTGGAGAAGATGAATCATGCAGTTGGTCTTGATGTTTGCAGTGCTGCCAGTACTTGTGTGGACAGCAATAATAATCATGGACATCATCGTTATAGAGACTTGAAGACATTGGACTTTGTATAATCTGTTATTGGAACTCGATGTGAACTCTAGAATTGATGACGGATCTTTACATTGGACAAGTTTCTAGTACAGCCAGTGATATTTTGTAGAGAATAGAAGTTTTTAGTAAACTGCCCCTCCCCCATCCCCCCTCCCTCCTCCCTCCCCCCTCCCTCCTCCCTCCCCTCTTACATGAACAAAAAAGATGAGGATATTTTAAGGTTTAGATGCATTCATGGATTTAGAGTTTTAAAGATTTAGTTATTTCAGGAAGAATGGTCCTATTAATCCCTTGCAATTTGATTTGATTGCGTTAGATTCGATCAAGTTTGTTTAAAAACAAGGTGAGGTGAATTGGGGAAACAAAATGTCTAATCATCCTTTAATCATAAAGCTGTGTCCATGCATTTCTTTAGTTTTTACCCCCATGATCCATCTAGGAAATGGTTTTTATACATGTATGTGACATTTACGTGTATTTGGTTTCAAAATGTCAGAGATTTTGGGGGATTTTAGAATACATGTATTGTTGTGTATCTGAGGAAGTGAAATAACCAATATTCTATGATAATTTTTTAATGTTTTTAATAGAAATTGAAATCTCTTAACTCTAATACATGTATTTCTGAATGCCTTGGGCGCCTTTTACTTCGACCCATCCTAGGAAGTGATGCCAGTCAGATAATGCCAATGTCAATGATTTGAAGGAACTAGTTTGTTTTCCAATATAGAGCATTCAATGGTATTTTCTCTGTATTATAATTAAAAATTCTGCAAATATACAAATTCCTTTGTTTTGTAGCAATAATAATATTGTAATGAAGGCCATTTCTGCATTCCTGTCAACTCCTCTTTAAGATTTCCATGTACTGGTAGTGAAAATACACGAGTTCAGTAGTTAGGCTACTTTCATTGTAAGAAAGGAATGGTAGAAAGAGAGAGAGAGAGAAAGAAAGAGACAGATAGACAGAACAAGAGAGGGTGGGGTGGAAGGAATATGACAGAAAGAGAGGTAGAGAGAATCAGAGAGCAAGAGGGTGGTGTGATGTTTTGTCCATTTTATGTAATTACATGTCCAGTGAAATCTTCATAACTAACTGCTTAAGTACATTTATTTCTTTCCTTTGTAATCGTTTTTCTTTCAATTTATCATTACATGTATTTATCAGTTATTGGCAGGAGATGGAAATAATTGAAGGAACAATATGCAAAATGACAATGCTATCAAATTTAATGTAGTAATAAATTTCACTGCAATTTATTGATCAACTTACATTACAATATACATGTATATTGGCATGACAAACAACTTTTATACAAATAAACATAAATACATCTTTGTACAATTTTGTTGGCATTGTATGAATCTGATATTTACAGACTAGAATTATAAAAAGAAAATAATACATATGAAAAAGGCTGACATGTTCAGTATATACAGAGGTTAATAAACACACCAAGTATTTATTGTTGGGCACTCACTATCTATTCAACATTCTAAAACACTTTTCCAAAAGGATTTATTCAAAACATTCTATATTTTATCACACAGTGACAATTCCATTGAAATACATTTAACTCCAGAATTTTCTTTTAAAATATGTATTCATTGATAAAGTATATTGATCATTAATGCATGCACCTACATCTTCAGAATAGAAATAAGGAGGGTGTGGATATCTGGACACTGCCTAGCACATGACCTCCAATGAATACAGAATTGCATTTCTATTAATTTGTTTGTTTGTAGAAGAGTAGATATGGTTTGATTGTGAAAAATTTGAACATACTTGGTATGTGAACTTGACAAATTTAACCCCAAAGTCACCTTCTCAAGTATTTGTACAGGGGTTATCTTTCTACCCGGGGTAGATGACAAGGGGGGGGGGGGGGGTGGGTGTCTGGCTGGGAATTGGGGGCGATAGTTGTCCTGTATTCTTGGAAAGCTGGAAACAAAGATTGTATAACCAATTTACTTTGTACATTACCAGTTAATAGTATTCCACCAATTACTTCTCAAATTATCCAATTCAATTAAATCAACACAAACTCGCTCCCTAGCCTAACTCTGATATTCCTATCACCAAAATCATTTCCAGAGTAACACACACACAAGAAATACGCTACAAGGCACAGAAATAGAACAAAGACTGTTTGGTCAATAGTACTGTATACCCTGTGTTAAAGTCTCCATATCCTAAAATACTATTCTCTATTACATGTACAACTTACTAGTCCAAAAAAGGCTACTGGTCTGTTGTATTGCTTCCCAATGCTTGAGAAATACTTTTCTTGAGGGCAAGTAGCAACATTAAATACTGACGAGACATGATAGACTTTTATAACAGCAAAAAACGATCAAATATACATGTACATTCTTCACAAGCGATACATGTAGTCTAATTGGAAAACTGAATTGACAATTATGGTCAACTCAAAGTGTTCTGGAATTACAGTCCCAGAAAATCTTTCTATTTTGAATAAAGAATATAATTAAATGATGTACAGTCAAATCTGCTTTTAATAGTGAGCACCTGTCTAAAAAGACCACTTTTGTGTTTCCCTTGGGCGGTCGCTAACTCACTATAGACAGGTTTGACTGTATTACCTGATATGAGGTACTTCCAAAACAATTTGGGTTGGCTATCAACGATTCACCAAGTTGATGAAATATTGAAGTTTATAAATAAAGACCACTTTTGTGTTTCCCTTGGGCGGTTGCTAACTCACTATGACAGGTTTGACTGTATTACCTGATATGAGGTACTTCCAAAACAATTTGGGTTGGCTATCAACGATTCACCAGGTTGATGAAATATTGAAGTTTATAAAGGTTTATTACAGAATGGCACAGGTCATTTTTTGGTTATTCCGTAAACGAAGCTATTTGAAACTCTTTGATAGGAAACTCAATTGTTGTGAAAGCATCTCATATAAATTGATATATGATTATATCATCAATTTGTATATTTTTTTGTCAAACACAAAAATTGTCTAAAATTGCCATTCCCTAATGTTTGGAATTTATCCTAATGCAAATGGGTCTTGTGTGTAATACTGGACAGGGTACATATATATTTGTTAAAATTATTTTAGCCTCTTGCTAAGCATTATAGAGAGTTGACCTAACAGGGCCAACTCCCAAAACTGTTGGGAAATGAAAATAATGCAAAATTGACTGTCCAAACAATATTTTCCAAACTCAGTTGTAAACATTATTCATGCCAGAATATTGATAATTTACCACAATGAATCACCACTCGTAGGTTCTATGTTTCATGCTTGTTTTTTTGTTAACAAACAAGAAAATGCACTTCATGTTTGAAAGTAACACACACACAAGAGGTACAGTATTCACACACTGATCGTTTCAGGGATCTCAAGTTTGATAGCAGAGTAACCTGGGACCAGATTCACAAAGCCTTTTTTGCAATGACAAATGACAAAAAACAGTGACAAATCTGCTAATAACCGATCAGAAGCAAGGATTTCAGTAGCTTGTAAAGAAAAACTGTCATTTGTCACTGATGACAAGTTTTGTGAAACACCCCTAGGTTTCCTTGGCAGAGGGTTTCTATTCCATATTTGAAACCATAGCATTGCTCAGTCAAACCTGCTTCAATGACCACCTGTATAGAATGACCACTTGTCTTCAAAGACCACATGTTTTGTCTCCCTTGAAAATGGTTTCTCATTGAAACATATACTAAAGAAACCTGTACATAAAGACCACCTGCCTATCAAGACCACTTTTCTTGTCTCCCTTGGCTGGTCTTTATAGACAGGTTTCAATGTACAAGGTAATGGTACATGTCAAGTATACAAATACATGTTTATCTCCTCATGTATCTCTCCTACTGTCCCCCCACTGGAGAAACTACGAATGTGTCGAGATGACTGAAAAAGTGATATGTGCTCTCAAAATGTATATCACTTTTCAACATCGCAGGTGGAGTATAAACCCTTCAGAATATACCTGTTTCATTTTTTTAAGGAACTTGTTATCCCAAGAGGATTTTTTTTTTTAATAAAGAGAGAGAAAGAAAAAGAAAAATGACTAGAACTTTTCATCTCCCCCAAATACCATAAGTAAGCACCACATTATTTGCCCTTGCTGAAAGTTGGTGGTAGAATGTCGGGGGGGGGGGGGGGGGGTAAATTCTAGGAGACAAGATTGTGCTCACATTAGAGACCTTGGTGGTGAGCGCTTTATAAGCACCGTTTTTGTTATCCTTATTATTAATTTTTTTTAATTTTTATTATTATGTTGAGACATCATCTGAAACATTTTTATCACCAAAATGTGTTGAACAATTCTACAAGGATGACTATACATTGTGCATTGTATTCAGTTCACTGTGACAAATCTATAAAAAAGGTAACTTTTCATCCATGAACTATAAAGAAATACAAATACACTGGACCTTCACCTCATTGAAGTCATACCAAAACGTTTAAATTCAATTCTTAATTGGCATCCTGGAACCGATAGTCAAAACAATAAACCACAACAATAGCTCCTTTAATAATCAATAAATTAATAGAATTTACATTTACCAAATATTAAAATAATAAGAATTGTGCCAAGAGCACCTGAAATTCAACCTGATACGGAATGGAAACGATTTGAAATTTGAACGGCATCAAGGTATGTATGGCAAGATGGTGTACTGGTAAAAAGTGGCCCAACCTCTAAAGCAGCGAAGGTGATGATCATCTGGCATATCCTCCTGTTGGCAAATAACAAATAATAAAGTGTTTGAATTTAATATGACAGGCTTCAACGACTAGAGTAGTGGACATTTTAAAGTGAAATTGACAATAATTGCTCATAAAAATTGAAAGTCTAAAGCATTATGATGATTGCTTATGCATGTACAGTGTAGCTAAAAAGCGTAAGCTCTTATAAATTGCCATTGTATTTGTTATCACTTTCTTGTTTTTTTTATAACTCTGTTTTGTATTTGTATGTTTTAAATGTTTTTATGAAGAGTGTTGACTGTTGAATAAACTTTGAATTGAAAATTTGAATTGAATTCTTTATGCTTTTTTTAATTCTCAATTTCTTACCCGTTTGGTCGACCAATATCGATTATGGCCACAATAGACCAGTTCAGAGACAGCGCATGTAGAAATAACCCTCAAGATATCCGCAAATAGTTTAAACTGGAGTGGTCTGACTTTAAGCATTGTAGATGTCAAAGTGATGGAGATATTACATGAAAACCTTTTTATGGCTCTCTCCCAAACCATTCATCATCATACATTTCCCTCACCTGAAGACTCTATGAGAGACTAAAAGGGTATTTCTTGATGGGACCATGGGTTTGCTGTATGTGTGGGACTTGTACACCAGTCAAAAGACTACCATCTCTCTTTAACTGAATGTTGACCGAATATATACAATGAAGAGAAGCCCGCCCATCTATTACTCACCATATCCGGAAGAAGCCTCTTCATTCTGTCATCTTCTGTCATCCTGTAGTACAAGAAACATAGGAGAAAATGAAAGGATGTTGGCAAATACCAGATATGAACTCAATACCGGCAATGGTATTATTAATGCATCACAGGGGAATACATTGAATCTACCCTGATATTAAGTTGGTTTTAATAAAAACAAAAAAATTAGAGAAACAAATGAGTGAAAGTTTGAACAATATCCGATTAAAAATAGGAAAGTAATGAATTTTGGAAATTGTCATCAGTGAAACACAAACTTCTCATTTTTCTGCTTTTATCAAAATCAACTTAATATCAGGGTGGACTTCCCCTTTAATGAGCTAGGTGTGGTACACTGTGTTTGCCTGGCTTTACTCATTGTTTAATCATGACATACAGTCACAACACAAGCCATTTTTTTCTTCTTCTTCTTTTCTATGTTTTATTTTTGTTTCTTGTTTTTGTTTTTTGTTTTGTATGTCAGCAGGTAAACACTACAGCTTTTTTGCGTCTGTGTTTTCTTTTCTTTTTTCTCTTCTTTTTGTTTTCCTTTATTTCCCTGCAGCAATGGACATAAACTATGATATAAACTTCATGACAATTTTGCATAATGCCTTCCCTTCCTCTTGTGAAATTAAGTGTTTGCAATTTCAAACAATGATGCAAATGATTCTTTGCAAACATTGTTCTATTCCTCTGTTTGTACATGATATCTGATAGTAAATGATACATTTTTTATACTAACATGACTTAACATTAACAAAGTACCACATACATAGTATGGACATGTTTACAGATGTGATGACAGTGACAATGTAGAGCACTAGCTTTTAACAAAGAGCAAAGATTGTATACTTCACTATTCCCCCCCCCCCCCCTCCCCCAGGAAAAAAATTATAACAAATTAATAATTGAATAAATTAAACAATAAGTGGGAAGAAAAATATCTTGAAACATGACTTAGAGGAAGATTCTGGTTAAGCGCACTGAAGAAACATGTAGCTAATAGCATGCCGAAATTGCACCAGGGGGGTGTTTCATAAAGCTGTTCGTAAAGTTATGCATGACTTTACGAACGACTTGTATATGAAGTGCCAGATAGGATGCCCCCCAATTTTTCTGATATTTCCAATAACCTCAATTAAATTATGGCAAAAAATATACTTTTATACTGTTATAATAAGAATGTTAAAATCTACATCTGCGCAATTCAACTTTAGTTGATGCAGTTAATAATGATTGAGCATCCCATTTGGCTTTTCATATACAAGTCGTTCGTAAAGTCATGCGTAACTTTATGAACAGCTTTATGAAACACCCCTCTGGAGCGATAATTAATGAATCTTTTGTTTTAATTTGTTTGATGAACGATACATGTATTCCCATGGAACAAATATGAATTCAATCAGTGAGTTATGTCTAGAGTCTAGACATTGATTTTAATCACAAGAGGTCACGGACTATTTCAGAAAAAAGAGAAACCATTGCATTTGTGTTTATATAGTGCTCTTCTACCTGCACATTCTAGACTGTCTACATAAGTTAGGTGTAATAAAGCAGTCTTTATTGTTACTTTTCCTTTATTTCTTGAAAATCTAGATGAGGCAATTATATCTTAATGACACCAAAAAAAATAATGACTGATTAACAATTTATTGCCTGATGAACCTTCTTATCTTTTCAAATTCAAAATATGCAGAGGAAACGCATGAAAACCACGTAAATAGGATGAAGACAAGTTACATTTCGACTCGTTTCAATGAAACACAAAACGATAAGCATCATGGTAACACAGAGTATTTTCTTCATGAATCCAGCACAATACAATTTTCATATTGCCCATGGTGCACCAGATAATGAGTAACTGCTGTGACTTGATGTAAACAGGCTTTGGCAGCAGACTGAAATTTTGACTGCTTTGGGTGAACAGGAACTTTTATCTGCAGAGATGCTTCTGGAAAGAAATGCATTCCTACAACTCACCAATCTAGACGAAGCCCTGAGAGGCCTAAAGATGTCCCGTCCATTATCGTCCGCATGCCTACCTGTTAAACTAGTATCAGACAACCAATCGTTATCAACTACATCACTGTTACTGTAACTACTACTACTGAAACGCAGCCTGGACATACTTCTCTCTGGTGACCGGGACCGATACGACGAACCCTTCAGGATGGACCTTTCCGGCGACTTCCTCTGGGAGCGCTCGGGGGAGATGATCTGGCTGATGGGGGTGGTGGAGCGCCCCCCGCCGTGCTGCTGGGGGCTGCTGGAGGTGCGTCTGGAGGTGGAGGAGCTTAGGGTGGTGGTCCTGAGGGTGGATGATCTCTGGTTCTCGAAGCTCACGTTGGCCGCGCTGGCGTTGGAGGTAGACATGGAGTGGGATGTGCTGCGACGAATCTCCTGCCCGAGCCGCTCTCTGTAAGGTAAATATTTTGCCAAAGGCATAAGAGTTTAGCATCATGTGGGGAATATCTGCTGTTTCAATTAAAGAGCCCTCAATATTTAGGAAAGCTTTTTTCCCCAACAAAAGCACCAGTAAAAAGAAAGTCACACATTCCCAACAGAATCGCTTTCTTAACCAAAATACACAATACATTCCATTCAAATTTATCTAGCAGGGAAGGACAAGTATCTGTACATCTATCATGCCCATTTAAGGCCCCAACACAAAAACAGAATGTCGCTGATTTCCAACAGAATCACTTTCTTAACCAAAATACATGATACATTTCAGTTTGAATAATCTAGATGAAAAAAATAGTATCTACACGATTTCATGTGCATTTGAAGCCCCAACACACAAATAAGAAAACTATCACTGATTTACCATAAAGCATAACAGATACTCTATCAGTTGGTGCACATACCATCATACTGGAATTTTTTTTTTAAATGCCACAATATGAAATGCACTTTGAAGGTGAGGAGGAGATCATGATGGTGAGGATATGGGAGTGGGGAATGCCAGTCCTAAAGCTTGGTCATACGGAACCGACTCTTGGTCGCTAGTAACTTACTTTTCAAATCTTTCACTGGTCAACTGTCTGCGGGCCCTCTCTAGTTCAGACTCTTGTTGGGATGACCTTGATCTTAGCGTCTGGATCTCTCGAGATTGAGTTTGTCTGAGTATGGTGACATAGAGCAATCAAAATCATGTAAGCCACAATAAACACGCTGGTTAATTTGGTTGACTGAATATGAACTGTGATTGTAATTGGTCTGATATATTTGCATCGTGCTTCTTTATAATGAGCCTCTTGATATGAGACAACTCATTTCATACTTGGACAATTATCATCATTCACAACTGATATACCTTTAATGACAATGTTTATAAGAAGTGTCAAGAAGAATCAGGAAATATAAAAATACATGAAATCAATGTGTATTTAGATTTAGAGTAAAAAAATGATAATCTTTACATGACTCCTATTTTCATACAAGCTAGAGTCCAAGAAAGCAACAAATTCATGAAATAAATAATGAACAATTTAAAAACATTACATGGCCATCATTACCAGAGAAAAAGTAAGTAAAACGTGCAGGTAAATAAATGCTTGTAATCATTAAAATGATCAAAAGCCATACTCCAAACTCAAAAGTACTCACATCTTGCTATCTGCTAGAGCTAAGCGGTCTTTGATCAGCTGGAGCTCGGACCTCTGTTCCTGATTGTCCAGTTGCACCTGGAACTCTTTCTCCCTGTTGCCCGCAATCAGCATCTCCAGGTTCCTGACCGTCGTCCGCTCGGTGCCCACCTGGCTTCTCAGCATCTCCACTTCTCTCTTCAGGTCTTCGGTTCGCGCTTCGGCCTGTGAGGAATGGTAGGAAATGAATTACCAGGGGGGTGTTTCACAAAGACTAAGAGATCGACTTAAGTTGGACTTTAACTATGGCAGGCCATTCATGCAACTGGTTGTCTCACCACTCGTCTCTCAAGGGGCGTTACAGATTTACAGAATTCACATTTTTTGATAGCTTATAATTGAAGGAAATAACAATATCTAAAGATCATAAGTTCTAAGATTTTTTTTCTGTAATTTTACATCTGGTTCAAAACTGTTTAAGGGCATAAATCGCATGCCATAGTTCATTTCAAACTTAAGTCGATCTTAGCCTTTGTGAAACACCCCCTAGATAAGACCTTTCAAGTGTTTTTTGTTTACTCAAAATGTCTATGCTGTGTATCTATCATCATACACAACTATGAATGCCATAGCACATCCTACAGAGGTGAAATGGATTGTTAAATCAATGAAAATGTGAAGCTCTCACTGTCAAAGGCATGGTACAACTTAACAATGAGATCTTAATCGGTAGTACATGTATCAATAATCCCAAAACCAATGTTCCAATAAAAAGCTTGCAGCATATAGATAGATTGATCAGTATTCATATGTAAAATGATTCCTTGGTGAACATTTTCAATATTATCACTATTATTATCATTACAATCATACTTTCAAAGACATTCAAATAGCATCCATATCTTTAACATACAGTTAACCCTGTCTTAGCGGGCCACCCATCTATAGTGGCCATGTATTTTGTCTCCCTTGAGAAACAAATCTGTGTTGTAGAACCTGTCTACAAAGGCCACCTGTCTACAGTGGCCACTTTTTCTGTTTTCCTCGGGTGGTCTTATTAGACATGTTTGACTATATCTAAGTTTGAAATGAAAATCATCGGGTTGTATTCTCAAAAGTGGACTAACTGTATTTCATGGTTTAATCCACAGACTAAGTATGGAATGCCAAGTGTCCATATGAATATGTTTTTGAATAATTTAATCGGTCACTAAATTAGAATAAAGTGTAATAAAATAATTAATAAACAACAATACAACTATGATATAATTATTTAAAATCAAATTATTCAAAAATGTGTTTGTATGGACACTTGGCATTTCATACATAGTCGGTGAATTAAACCATGGACTAAAGTTAGTCCGCTTTCGAGAATACCACCCATTCTGTGTTCTGTTGGACGTCTACCTGTTCATAGTCGATATTCTTGGTGGTCAGCTGCCTGGAGAGTGACTCCTTGGTGGAGTCTAGCTTGACACACAGCTCCCTGACGGCGGCAAGGTCCTGCACCACGGAGTCCTTCTCATCCTGGAGCTGGCGCACGTTGCCCTCCATGTTGGAGAGGGAGCGGGTCAGGTTGGAGATCTGCATCTCGTATGTCTGCTGGGTGGACAGGTGCTGGTGGCAGAAAAGTAATAGACAGAATGAAGACAGAAGAAATAATAGTACTAATATGCTGTACTTGTATAGCGCATACCTGTCCAGAAAGTTGGGGCACTTTTTGCTCAAATTGAGTTTTGCATAAAAAGCATAGCCAACTATCTTCAGAAGTACTCAAGCTTCATGGTTAATCAATATTATAGACCCAAAGATTATGTAATGTCATATGAATATGGTGTCCAGGTAACGCTGGTTAAAAGAAAAAATGTGTATTAAGCAAAGATTTTGAAGAAAAGCAACTGAAACAGGAAAGATTCTGGCAGGGCACTACTATAAATATTAATTGCATAAACAAATCTTCAACAGATAATTTCATCTTCCATGTATAGGATCTCGTCATATATCTCTTGCCCCAACTTTATGGAATGACCCATATCACATTATGACATAGCGTCTCTATACGCTTCCGAAACACTTTGGATATTATCTTACCAGGTACACACTCACTACACCTGGGTCAAGTGTGGCAATGTAGATTAATGTCTTGCTAAAGGACATTAACAATAGCGAGATTCGAACCCTATACCTTGTGGTTCACAGTCCGAAGACTTATCCAATAGACCACAACATCTCTACGGATATGTAATGTGTGTGAATAGGATGTTGGATATGATGGCAAAGCTGAAGGTGCGCTGCTGCTACGTTATACAAAATAGATTATGCTATTAAAACCCTTAGGGACTTTGCCTGGTCTTGTTTGGTTTGAACCAACTAAAATACAAAGTTTGATGAAAAACAACTCCACACAGGGAAGTCAGTATATTATCAAAAGAATAAAGAAGAGACACATGGCGTAAAAATTGATTAAGAATTTTCGGATACAAAAGTGATAAACCATCTTTAAGCCGCCAGACATTACTCATCCAGGAATTTGAGGCTTACCTCGTGGACATCTCTCTCCGTCTCATCCATCCTCTCTCGTAGTCTCTTCATCTCCGTCTCCTTGGCCATCAGTTCAAGCCTCATGTTGGAACTCTCGCTGGTCCTCTCGGTAGCCTCCGTCTCCCAGCGCTGTGCCTCGGCGGATGCAGTTCGATAGTTGTCAAGTAGACCCCGGTTCTCTCGATCCTACAACAGAAATGGAGCAATGGGTACAGATGTTTGGCATTTGCAAGACAGATGTTCCGTAACAATTGCTCTGCAGTCAATATCCTTCACTGATCAAATTCTGGACTTCAACCTTGGATCAATCCCTATAACTAATCCTAACCTATTCTTGTAACTCTAACCTAATCCTATACCTATGATGAAATAAAGCCAAGAGCAAGTGATGTCCAAGCAAATATTGGAGCATCTGTTCAATAGGTTCACCAGAGCAAGTTTGCTACTCCATCTCAAACCTACTTTGAGTTATAAATCAAATCTTTAAAACTCATTATTTGTTAACCCTTAATTTTGAACCTTTTTTATTGGTAGCAGTGATTCTGCTCTTGGTCCTAATCCTTCATTTTTTCCCTGTTTGCTGGTAGCAAAGTTAAATGGACCATAGGTTGAATATAACATGTTACTCTCTGTACATATATTCTGAACTACTGTATACACAATTAATCCAACTTAAATGTTGTCAGTCTAAGCTACATAAGTTTGGTGGGAAATCTAAATGATATCAGTCCTGAACTATTTCTGTATAATGTTACCTATTGACTAAATTTTCTCATTCTCTGCGGCTTAATAGGAACTACCCATGAGATGGTTGATTAATCTTTCTACTTTCAATTCAATCAAGAAAGCAAATATCATAACCTTCATGAGGAAAACAAAAATTATTTCTTCTAAATAAGTTACCTTTCCTGCAAGCATGTCTTCAATACGAGCTACTTCCGCGATGTAGTCCTGAACTTGAGTCTTGAGTGTTACCTTCTCTTCCAATATACTTTCTAACTCCTGGTTTACAGTCTGTGTCCAAACAAACAATAGGGAAGTCATTTACAATGTATTTTATTTTCAACCTATGGACATACATGTATGGGATTGCACAAATAGACATCAGTTGGTCTAACAAATAAAGTAATTCTAGAAATGACAGAAATACAAGAGCATTTCCAGAACAATCATATTGCTACATAATGATGTTCTTCTACACTGGAATTAACAATTTTCAGAAACCATAATTCCACGTGTGAGACAATGTTATTCAAAGTTAGACCTTAGCAAATAGACAAGATCGCATCACAGAGATGGGTGTTCTTGAGACAGAGAAATTCAAATGGGTTAAAGGTTATTGACATTTTATCTTTCCTCCCTAATTTTCTTACTGGATGATTACAGCATCATTTTATAGGGATCTTTCTACAAAATCTAAATCAATCATGTGAAATTCTTCTTTGCAGAAATGTTGTAAATATGAATTGCAATGACACACTTGTGTTTGTAAACAGAAGAACAAATATTAACCTACTTGTATCTTTCATTACAAATGTACCATAAATATCATTATAAAGTGGTAGAATTGTTGTTTTGAGCTACTTTAACCAAATAGAGTACACATTGCTACTTTACCAATACAGTACAAATTGCCTAGACCACCCAAGGGAAACAGAATAAATGGCCACTGTAGACAGGTGGCCTCTTTAGACAGGTTCTACACTACTCATTGTTTTCTTGAGGGAGACAATATACATAGCCACAATAGACAGGTGGCCTTTTCAGAGAGGTGGCTGCTATAAACAATTTGACTGTATCCCGACTCTGACCTGGTTTTCTCTGGTCATGGTTGCCAGATCTTCCTGCAGTCTGCGATTCTCCCGTATGGTGACATCCCGCCCTCTGGAGGCATCGGTCAGCTCGTCTCTCGTCGAGTCCAGCTGACGCCGCAGGCTACGGATCTCACGATCTTTGCTGCCGAGATCGTTAATTGCTTGTCTGCCGAATTGTGGAAAATAAAAATTCCCTAGTTAATCTATACTTTAATAAATATTCTAACTATGAGAAATGTTCACACTTCGCAGTATGCTACACTTTGAACTCATCAAAACACTACTGCCGAAATAAGTTGGACCAGGGTTGTTGTGAGCCTGTTTTTGGTATTTTTCTCTTTTTCTTATGGTGGTGCTATTCAATGATGGTGCTATTTTGGGATCTTCCACAAATTATTTTAGCTACTAAAAATACAATGATTACATAACATAAGTAAGTTACTATTTCAGACTGAGGAAGGGGAACAAATTCTGCTCTCCTTATCACTCCTTAAGTCTCTCTGTCTTGTTTTGTGGTGGTGGTGGTGGTGGTGGTTTTGGAGAGAAGAACTTACCCTCCTCTTGGCGCCAGGCTGTGTCCTCCCTTCTGGCTCTAGACACACAATATGCTTATCTTAACAAAAGAAGTATAAATTGTTACAGTCTAGAAGGTCTTATGTCCAACTTACTCTAATCTTGCCTCAAGGTCACTGACCGTTGCCCTGAGGTCAGCGATGGTCCGACCTCGGTCCATGAGTTCCCTCTCAAGGTCCAAGGTCCTCTCTGTCTTCTCGTCCACTGCCATCTGTATGCCATCCTTCTCCCTGTCGATGGCGGATACTGTCCCTCGAAGCTCGTTGATTTCCTCCCGCAGGAGAGCGTTGTTGGCATTCATGTCAGCTGTTTCGTGCGAGACGTACAGGTAATAGAAATATATTTACTTCACGTAGAGGTGTCTTGGTCGAGAGGATACGTGGCCGGACTGTCGATCACAAGGTTTGCGGTTCGAGTCTCGCCGCGGCACTAATGTCCTTTGGCAAGACATTGATCTAAATTGGCCACACTCAACCCAGGTGATGTAAATGGGTAACTGGCAGGAATTAATTCCTTGAAATGCTAGAGCGTCGTAACGGCAACCATGCTAAAGCCAGATTAATAATCGGGAGCGCTTTGAGTGTCAAGTCTGGCAGATACGAGCGCTAAACAAGATTCCAATGTAATGATCAAGCTGTATTTGCTGCATAAACTGCATAACCCTTCAAAAAAAAAAATGTATATTAGGGTCTTGCAAGGGTGTAACAGATCCTGTAACATATTGACACTAAACTGGCAGCAATGATTTCTGCATCCTGTTCTTACTAATACAAGCAACTGCAAAGAATTCTAATAAAAAGGCTGTTGAGAAATTAGGAGACCATGTAGGTTTCCCATTCAAGTGTTCGATCTAAAGTAGCTGTACATGTATAACCTGCATAATTTTTGTTTTGTTTTTGTGGTAAAAATTTAACATAGGATCTTGCTAGAGTCTACCAGCGCCTTAACCATATGGATGCTATAATGGAATCAATGGCTTGCTCATGCTATACTCATTTCTAAGATGAGCAATAAAATAGTGGTTTAGGAATATAGAGACAACATAGTTTCCAAACCAAGTGTTCCTACTGTACTTACTTATTCGCTCCTCTAGTCTCACAATCCTCTCCTCCGCACTCTGTAAATTGTTTGAATTGATGTGAAGCCTCCGCTGGTATTCCTCTACAGAATGCTCTGTTTGATCTGTGATCAATCTGCAATTAAACCAGAGACAACATTTCAATGTTATAAATTAAAAAAAATAAATAAATAAATGAACATATATAAAAAAAGACTTTAGTCCTAGAATGGGAGTATATCAAGATGGATTCTTACTGTCTAATCAAACCCAGAGAGGCGAGAGGGATGTTAACTCATAATTTTACAGAGATATAGCTTCCTTCTGGCTCTGTGCAGACATCCTTGGCTATATTTCCCTCTTCATTCATTTGATAAACTTATCTATCAGATTGAAAGATGCTGAAGATTTAAAAAAAAACTTTAAAATACCCCCAAGAATCGTTTTACATTATTTCTGCTGCATTTTCCCCTTAGGCTACTTTGTTGCTGGAAGCATGTATTCAAGTTAACCTTCTGCCTGTGCATACTTACGTGGTTGCTATAGGAACTTGATAACCTTTAAAGCAATTTAAATATAACTGAATTCAATTTCACATTATATGCAAGTTTATGTAAAAGTAATTTAGAGACTAATCTCTATGGGTAGGAACTTGCGGAACCGACTGGATTATTTCTAAACATTTGTACAAATAGGTAGCTACCAACATACCAGCAGGCGCGCCGGAAGCAGTTTGGGATTGGGGGGGCAAACATTCCAGGGGGCTCACATTCCAGGGGCAGTGACGTAATGAGAAAAAAAAGTTCGGAAGGGGGGGGGGGCAGACGAAAAATCTGCATTACCACCAGTCTTACACGTTACATGCAGGTCCCGCGGAATGTTTTTCAAAGTGGAGTATTATCGATCAGGTAGAGCGTAAATTGGCGTGGGGTCCAGGGCATGAGCCTCAGCAGGGGGTCAAGGGGCTGAGCCCCCGGAAGCTAAGGGGTTTTAGGTATTTAATTACGGTTAGATGAGCATCCAGGGGCCCTCTGTAAGGCAATTGACGTGTTCAAAGGGGGGGGGGAGAGCCCCCAGAAGCTCAGGGGTTTTAGGTATTTAATTCAGGTTAGATGAGCATCCAGGGGGCCGCCTTAGGGCCCTTGGTGGGGTCCAGAGGGCAGAGCCCCCGGAAGCTCAGGGGTTTTAGGTATTTAATTAAGGTCAGATGAGCATCCAGGGGGCAAAGCCCCGGAAGCTCAGGGGTTTGAGGTATTTAATAACGGTCAGATGAGCATCCAGGGGCCCGCCTTAGGGCTCTTGGTGGGGTCCAGGGGGCAGAGCCCCCGGAAGCTCAGGGGTTTTAGGTATTTAATTAAGGTCAGATGAGCATCCAGGGGGCCGCCTTAGGGCCCTTGGTGGGGTCCAGGGGGCAAAGCCCCGGAAGCTCAGGGGTTTGAGGTATTTAATAACGGTCAGATGAGCATCCTAGGGCCCGCCTTAGGGCCCTTGGTAGGGTCCAGGGGGCAGAGCCCCCGGAAGCTCAGGGGTTTTAGGTATTTAATTAAGGTCAGATAAGCATCCAGGGGGCCGCCTTAGGCCCTTGGTGGGGTCCAGGGGGCAAAGCCCCGGAAGCTCAGGGGTTTGAGGTATTTAATAACGGTCAGATGAGCATCCTAGGGCCCGCCTTAGGGCCCTTGGTAGGGTCCAGGGGGCAGAGCCCCCGGAAGCTCAGGGGTTTTAGGTATTTAATTAAGGTCAGATAAGCATCCAGGGGGCCGCCTTAGGCCCTTGGTGGGGTCCAGGGGGCAAAGCCCCGGAAGCTCAGGGGTTTGAGGTATTTAATAACGGTCAGATGAGCATCCTAGGGCCCGCCTTAGGGCCCTTGGTGGGGTCCAGGGGGCAGAGCCCCCGTAAGCTCAGGGGTTTTAGGTATTTAATTAAGGTCAGATGAGCATTTTTTATACCTTATTTGTGACATTGGCAGGTCACTTATTTTTGTCTCCGTCTTTCTTTCTTTTTCTATTTAACATACTTTTAAAAAAAGGATGGGGGGGGGGGGGGGCTCGTGCCCAGCCACTTTGCAGACCATGACATAAAGGCTTCTAAATAATCGTATTTCACCTGACTGTAATTTGGGAATTTCTTTTTTTCCAACAAATGCATAAAAAGGTATGACTTACAAAAAAATGGAGAAAAAATGCCGGAAAATCATGTCACAACATCAACATGTGTAAATCACTTGTTTCGAATAAGAAATACATCACCCCCCCCCCCCCCATCAGTACGCCAGCCTTCAGGGGCTCATGTCTTCTCACCACTATAACAAAAAAACCGGACACGCTTTCCCATTCTCGCACAATATGTCCACGATATGCGCGTATCGCTATTATAGAGACCTCCATTTAAAATACCGTATAGGTGGCATGCGCAATGTTTATGAAATTTAATTCCTGTGAACTTTCCTTTTTCTTTGAATGGAATTGTATATGTGATTTAATTCAGGTTTTTTTTATTGTTACATTCTTTTGGACTAAAAATACAAACCATGTTTACTCCTTTACTGTTTTTTTTTTTTTTTTTGGAGGGGGTGGGGGGGGGCGTTTTGGGGGGGCAAAAATGCGTTTTGCCCCCCCACTTTTTTGACTGGGGGGGCAACTGCCCCCCCTGCCCCCCCACTTCCGGCGCCTATGCATACCAGGGACCTGTTTCACAAAGCCTTTTTTCAATGACAAATGACAAAATCTGTGACAAATCTGCTGATAACCAATCAGAATCAAGAATTTCAGTATCTTATAACAAATACAGTCATTTGTCACTGATGACAAGTTTTGTGAAATGGGGCCCAGGTATCTGTGACTGATTGTGAAAAATGCATTGGACAATCAAGCAGACTAAACAACAAGAGACTGCATCTAACCTGAGCTTGGAAGCTTGAGCCTTGCTTGCTGATGCATCTTCCTTGGCCTCCTCTATCTTGAACACCTGGATGCGGACTTGCTCCTCTAGAGTGACAATCATAGCCTGCATGGACGACACCCTGGACTGACTGCTGTTCCGCTCCTGCTCCGCCTGCCAAATTGGAATGAGAAACAATCAACGTTTCGATACTTTGACTGAATGCTTGATCTTTAGCACCCAGGGGACCTACAGTTTATGATCCTATTAGAGGGAATAGATCTTTAAGATATGTAGGGATGAATTCATTAGGTAGCCTCCTCTATTCTAAAGACCTTGGTGCAGACCTATTTCTCTAGGATACTGTTCATGGTCAGCAAGGACTACACCCTTAAATGCTCACCATTCTTCTCTCACGCTGCCTCCTGAATGCATACAAATTTGTAATTCTATTATGTATTGTTTTAATGTTATTTAGGACGCTAAGAGAGTAAATAGTATCTCCTGAGACCCAGAAATCTGTCACCCTGAATCATTCATTCCTGAACAACATGGTACCAGCGCGACAACTTGGAGTAGAACACAAGACCGTCCAGTCACAAGATCACTGCCCTACCACTCTGGAATCACACTATCACACTATCATTGGCAAGACATTAATCTGCATTTGCCACACTCCATCCAGGTGAGGTAAACGGGTACCAGGTAGGAAGAAATTCCCTGAATGCTTGAGTGACTTTTCATGGTAGCTCGCCTAAAGCCGGAATAATGATAAGATTACAGAGCCTTCAGACGGAACAGTACTAATACCGATGAACAAGACATATCATTATAATTATTATTATTTTGAACATATCTTGAGAAGGCAAATGGAGTATAGGTGGAAGCTTCTTACTTACCCCTAACAAGAGGTGTTCTAGATCCTCCACCCTCTGCTCTAGCCTTGCCTTGTCACTCAGGTTAGTATCTGTTGATATCTGTGATTAAAGAGAGTTACACTTTGAAACCCTGAGGACAGGTCTGAACAAGCACTAGAAAACAGGACTGTCCAAACTCACAAGAAATTAAGATCAAGTAAAGTGAACCATGCTTGTGGCAAAATCTGCCAAATTTCAAGGAGCAACACGTGACTACTTTTCCACATACAATTTCACTGATTCAGTTAACTTAGCCGTTGGAAATATAATTTAACCCATCACTTCAATCTTTGTCTATGTGCTGCATTACCTATGAAATCTTAAATTCTATACAGAATAACAATTTAATTACTTTAGATAGGTTGTCAAAACTTATAAAAAGTGTAAAAACTTATTGACAAGAAATATTTGTATACTTGTAATATGAATATGATATGATAAAAAAGATATTTATAATATTTCCTTTGTGTATATTACTGGTGGGTTATTCTCAAAAAATGATTTATACAAAAGGGCTTGACAATTTAAAACAAAGTGAAGGTTGCATGGAATACTAATTCCCTTACCTTCAGTCTTTCTCTCAGGCTATCTCTCTCTGTTGTTATGCGACGTAAATCAGCTACGGCATCGTCCCTCTCATTCTCCACCCTCCTCAGGATGGACTGGGCCGCTAGGGATGCTCGGGAGGACTGCGGGGTTTTGAGAACTTCTTGCCTCAATCTTTGCAGCTCATCGTTAGCCTGAACAAACACATCAAAATAAAATTTGATCAACACTATATAAATTATATATTATAACTATTGTTATATCTTTCTAAATGTACAATTGAATTCTATTTTATCTGTTCTGTATAAACGTTATGCTTGTTTATGTAAATATGTTCATAATTATTCAGGGCCCCAAAGATTAGAAATAAAAAATAAATAAACACTACGGCTTATTTTTAAAGGCAACAATAAAAATAGGAAACATGTATGAACAATGTTCAGAACAAAATAAATATATTTAATGGAGTGTCTTGTTACCTGAAATAATATTAAGTTTACCATCTAAAGGTTAATATATATTTCTTCACACACTAAATTTTAACAATTGTAAACATGGGCTTTTATAAAAAATCTTTGTAGTTTGAATGATTGTCTATTATATATTTTTCATGTAAATCTACAATCATATTTACCTGTTGATATAACAAGTTCACTTTATCTCTCTCTGAAGTCAGGACCTTGACATTGGTTTGAATCTGTAATCAGAAATGAATATTGAAAGTGAAAAATTTGTATTAAAACAAAAATCACAGGCATCACACTAAAGATCAATTCTATTCAATGCAATTTGGTCTATTAAAATATAGGTATACAAAGTAGTATTCAAAAGACTATTGTACCATGTTTACAAAAATGAACATAAAATAGGAACATAGGTAAAGACTGGTCAAATTTGTAAATGTGCATAATCATTTCATATTGAAATTTGAACATTTTTCAAAAGCTCCAAAAGTTGGCAGATAGTTGGGGACAACACACACTTTAACAGAAAAGCATTGCCAATATATGCAATCACATAAACATTCATATATTTTTTCTCTGGGGCCTACTTGCAGTCTTACAGGAGCTATCTCAGCAGCTGTAAAACAGTGACAAATCGCCATGAACACCTACAATTTAGAGTGTCATCCAGAAATGTCCACATCGTACATACCAGCAGGACTATAAACTCAAAGGACATTAGCCTATATGCAGGCATTTCAAAATAAACTCTTACCTCAGACATGTGTCTCTCAAACTTGTCTACAAGCGATTGAAGCTCGTTCCTTTCTCTCTTCAGATTGACCATCTCGGCTTCATCAGCTATACTCTATACAAACAGGACATGGAAATACATGAAGCATTATAAAATCGCATAAAGATTTTGTTACATTGCATTGGATTGCCCTTGAATAATTTCTCATTAATATCACGCCTCTTTCACAGGTTAGCATATGTTAGTGTTAAAGCCATGTCTAAAGTGCTGGGAGCCCCAAATTCACCAAAAATTTGAAGGCAAATTTCCATAATGTGAAAGAGGATGTAGTTTAAGACAACGCTTCTGCAAAGATTCCCCCCCCCCCCCCTCTCAAAAAAAAAAAAAAAAAAAAAAAATTGTTTGAAGACAATTATTGATAAAGAATACATAATTTAGGTTTTCTGTTGTACGCAGAAAACCTAAATTTTGTATTAAACAATATTCAACTTTAAACACATTTGTTTTGAAAATCCTTGCAGAAATGTGTCTTAAATGACATCCTCTTTCACATTATGATACAATTTAAGTGAAATTTTTTGGGGCTCCCAACACTTTAGAGGGGCTTTAACAATTTTAGTAATATTAAGTAAAATGTGAGATTTTGAAGAAACATATACATGTAGTTCTCTCCCAAATTCCAGAGAGATAACTGTAACCACCCCATGCCAGAGGTCAAAGTGCATTGGCGCACAACTTACCAAGTCTCTAAACGAAGAGGTGACATCTTTCTTGGCAGGGCTGGCCTGCTGAGCTACTCGTAGCACCTTGAGGGTTTCGTATTCCCTCTTGTAAAAGCTCTTCTCATCTTCCAGCACCCTGATGATAGCCTCATAGTGGGTGACACTCTGTTGAGAGACCATTTGATTGCAAAGTCTGAAGTTATCTTTATCATGACATGCATATTGTTTACTTATGACAAATTCACTGGCTTATTTCCTGAATGCTTTAAGTAGAAATTGTTTTCCTTGCATTCATGTGGCTCACTTCAAATTTTACTGCTGTTTTGAATTCAACTTTTCCTGATTTTGTAATAATAATCAATAAATATACAGTCAAACCTGTATATAGCCACCCCCAAAGGGAAACACAAAAATTGGCCTTTGTAGACAGGCGGTCTTTGTAGACAGGTTCCTTTAATACATGTTTCAATGACAAACCATTTTCAAGGGAAACACAAAATGTGGTCTTTGTAGACAGGTGGTCTTTCTATACAGGTGGTCACTAAAGCAGGTTTGACTGTATAATAAGATGGATTGTGATCAACTTTCCTGTACCTTATTCTTTGCATCCTGAGCTGCCAATGATCTGCTTGGGCTTCCGGTCCTGCTCCCCTTCCCTGGGCTCCCGCTTCTCTTGGGGCTCCTCCCCCTGCTCGACGACAGGGTGGGGGAGGGTAACCCTTTGTTCCGTATGATCCTGTTTAGCACCTCCACCTCCCCCTTGTAGTAGTCTCTCTCCTCCTCCAGGGCCTTCATGTAGTTCTCCACCTTGGAGGAAGGGGCGCCGCCCTTCTTGGATTTGCCCCCTCCTCCTCCGACCTTCTTGCGCATCCTCTCCAGCTCGAGAACCAACTCCCGCTCTGAACGATGCGCCGACAAGAAAAAGACGATGAAATAAATTAAAATCATATGATAGGAAATGTACCAATACCAACATACTGTAGAAATACTTTATCAATAACATACTGAAACATGAGGCACCAAACAAAATATCATATAATATCATATCATATCATGAATATAATACAAGGGACAATACTGTAAATTCTGACATACCCAGTAATCATTAAAGATGCATAGTAGTAGGTTTTCATGGGGAATTTGACACTATTCAGGTCTTTACCCAATAACTGGTGTTGTCAGTCGCCAAAAGTGGACTTCACTTTTAGACAAACAGGTCTTGTGTGATGCACTGTGCCCTAGCTCACCACCTTAAATTTATTATTTTCTGGTGGGACCACAAGTTCCCTTCTTCAGAGACATTTGCACACAGATACATTAATTGGTACTAGTGTCACCAAATTATGATGCAATACACACGGACACTGACTACTATGTGACTTTAACACAAGTAGAAAATGCTAGTAATCAGTGATACAGTAGATTGAGGCTGGATGTTGTCAATGAAAGTTAAGACTTGGGTTGTGATTCAACAATATATAGGATCAAATTCAAGTATAGTGTTGGGTCTGGGGGTAAAGATGGGAGTTTGATTAAAATAGAAAATTTATGTCAAAAGCGGACTCTATGTTTTTTACCATTTGAGGTGAGTTTGTTGACCTGATGGCTAAGTTTCCTCTTGTCTTCCTGGATCTTGTCCGTCAGATTCTGAAGCCTCTTGAGGTCCTGGTGTTTGACAGCACCGTCTGTCCTCAGTGAATCAATATCATCCAGAAGATTTTTCCTCTCCTGATACACAATCATACGAAATAAAATAGATCAGAGATGGAGTCAATCAATAAGTACTTGGTACAGCTTCCTTTTGGCTTGATTATGATGCCATTATTACATTCACATGGAATAAAATAATTTAGGAAATAAATAAGAGTTGTGTCCTTAATTGTGTAAAACAATGAAGAGGTATTATTCATGTAGCTGTCCAAATATTCTTTTTGCATTAGTGCAATCAAGTTGGAATATTTTACCTATTTCTTTTTCTTTAGTTTTTAAGCTTAATCAATTAAACAACTGACATTCCAATTGCTTTTTGCACTGGACTAGTGTAGTCTTCTGATTGGCAAAGAAATGGACTGTCAAACATGTACATTGTCATGTTGAAACGATGGGTACAAATACGTAACTTTTTGTCTACACTTCTGTTTACAGAAACGACGATCTTATGCTTTGCTCTTCACAAACCATTTTTTCCTGGAGGTCAGGAGCAAAATATTGGGGGTCCGGCACAGTAGGTGCCTGTTGAAAAATGTGATATATTGTGGTCTGGAGCTATAGTGAGGCCGGGGTATGTGCATACTGGCCCCCTGGGGGGTGTTTCACAAAGATCCCAAGTCAAACCTAACTCTAAGTTAGACTTAAACATTATGGAGAGCCATTTGTAGCCTTAAAATTAAATATTTTCAAAAGCAAAATTTGAAGTGTTTTAGACTTTTCATAAATTCCACATCAAGAACACGAAATCTCCTTGATAATAGAAAATATGAAAGATGTGAATCAACATTTTATGCCTTTTAAAATAAATTTTACAAAATACCTTCATAGAAGTCAACATCTTTCAATAATTGTTAAGTCCAACTTAGAGATAAGTTCAACTTAGGATCTTTGTGAAACACCCCCTAGTCCCCTGTTTATATTGAAGATTACCTGTCTCAGTTGCTCTACTTCCACCTCTAGGTCTTTGATCTCCCGCGTTGATCCTCGGATCTCCGCCTTAGCCTCAAACAGATCCTTATCCGCAAGGGTCACGACACTGTTCTTATCCGCCTGCAGCCGTTTGGCGAGCCTGTCCACATCACGGAGCTCTCCCGCAAGCTCGTCATTGCGACCCGTGAGCACGATGTTCTCCTCGATGGCCGACTCACGTGCCAGGCGTGTGTCTTTTAACTCGCGGTCGAGCTCACGGTTTGCTTGCTGAAGGTACTCGATCTATTCCACACAAGAAATACAACTTGACTTTGAGAACATTTAACGGACAGGTTAAAGTTGACGTTAATAAACAACTGGTAGTCTGGGAAATCATTTTGTGGCATACAAAGATGTAAGGAAAGAAGTTTTCAATATATACAAAAATAAACAACCCACAATTTAGAAGCAAAACCTCATCTGTTCTGTTGCAAATGATCCAAAACTATGATTAAATTAACACCTCGATATCAAGTGTAACTCTCTATTAAAGAGTTCAGAGTGTTTAAGTTTTACAATTAATTGGACAAATAATGATCAAACTGGATCAATCTCAGCTCTCTTTCACAAGAAAGGGCCCAGCTATTTATATTATTATTAGGAACCTTAATCAGTAATTTTTTCCATGTTTACATCAATGAATCTCATGACATTGCATTATTTGCCCCAAAATCAGATCACATTCAGATGGTATACTTCTACCCTTTTTGTGCTAGCTTGGTCAGGATTAAGTCGGGGGGGGGGGAGGAGAGAGACCTGAGCAAAGTCATGGTTATGAACGAAGCTCTTTCAATACCCAGGCAACCAAGATAGTTTACACTCAGTGTTTTCAATCACTCATTTTCTAATTTGTTTATGAATGTATTGTTTTATCCTGTATGCCACATTGTATACAACATCTCCTAGCCTGCCCACATCTACCAGACCCTTGCACCCTAGAAGATCTGGGGCCTGTTTCATAAAACTTGCCATCTATAACTACTGCTAAATTTCTATGACAAATTTGCTCTCAGCCAATCAGATGCCATGATTTCAGTAGCTTATAACTGTAGCTTGTAACTTTTTATTGATATCAAGTTTAAAGAAACATGGCCCTGAAGCATCGACCCCCTGAGCAATGCAATGCATCCAACACTGGATTGGGACAATCCAATCAAGAGTGAATGTTGTTGCTTAGTGATTTAAGAAGAAGAAGATTTGTCAAATGAATACAAAATAAATAACAATTTTTTGAAGGATTTATGTACCTGGATATTGAGATGAGAAACGAGCCTTTCATTGCTGCGGTACTTGGCTTCCGTCGACATCACATCAAGAGGTCTACCGCCCTCTAGCTGACGACTCAGCCGGGATATCTCTTGATCCCTGTTGTCAACCTAGAAACGAATGGATGAGCAAAGGATAAAGATTATGAACAGCTCAAAGCCTGACAAACAGAAAATATCAAAATGAACTGAAGTAAAGAATGATAACGCTCCTGAAAAGCTCAAAATCAAAAAGAAAATAATATCTCACTTATTTCTGGGCATAACCACAACTTCAACAAGACTCTTGTGAAGGGGTTGACTGTGTAAACAAACAAAAAAACTATTTCAGCGGAATACAATTATGCCAATTTACCCCAAAGCCAGATGAACTTGAATGATGCAGGGGGCTCAAGAGTCTTTTTAGCAATTATGTTCATCAACACCTACATGTGTGTATTATCATCATTATAAGTATCATTGTATTTTAGAGATGAGAGGAAAAAAGGCTCTTTAATTTGACTATATGATTTTGTAGTTAAATAATTAAATTAAGATATATATATTTTTTTTTAATTAAGTTGGTCATATCAAATTTGATTAAGGATCAACAAATGCTCCACTATAGTACACTTCTGTTCATAAGAAAGCCACTACAGTGGAAACTCGTTATAAACTTATAACAAGGTCCTTGGGAACGAAAACATTACCTTGTTACCGTAGATCAGGGTAAAAAATATATATCACAAATATATAAACAGCTGGGACCAACAAAATCACTTTGCCATAACAGATACCTCATTAATATATCAGTACCGATATGCAATGTCCAGAGAATCGTCTCATGACTAAAGACTACTAGTAGTATACCTATTTATATCCATCGTTGTTATTGATATTTTTTTTAATAGCATTCTAAAAACTGGTAGCAAGACGTTAGATTTATTGGACCAAATATGATAGTAACCTGCTTATAAATATTCCTAAGTCATAAGGCCTGTCAAGAGTTCATTGCTCCTGCTATTCTACATGATCTAAAACCAAAAAGAAAATGTAATACATTTAAATAATGTTTGGCAAAACAAAGACAAGCAGTGATAATCTGGTTGAATGGTTTAAAAAAAAATGAAACACCCTACGTGAAATTCCTAACGTCAAAGACCATCTCAACCAAACAAAATTAAAAATGGGAGAAAGAGATGATTATTTGTACTCCATGAAATTATCATAATTGTGTAAAATACAGTGATACGCATACCTAATATTGAAAGCTTCTTGTCCCCTCCCACTTTTTTTTTTCTACCTGCCTGCCTCCTTTTTCTATTTTATAATCATTATATTTGTTTGCTAAAAATCTGATTACCGGTAGGCTAGCCTGCTAGCCCACAGAGTTTTCAAAACAGTGTAATTTCAACTTGTCAAATGTATAGAGAAAAAAATAAGAGTCTCCTATATTTTTCTCCTTCATTGACCCCATATATATGGACCGATTAATTATATTAGCCATATAATCATTGTCATTAGAATGTGTGTGGAAAATATCAAGTATAAAATAAAAATAACATATTGAAGGAACCGAAGCCCCACTTCCTCAACTTTATACATCTTGGATTTGTAGAGTAAAATGCTAAACTAAATTGATGAACAAATATTAGGGGAACTGAAAAAAGGCCCTGCCAAGAAACTTGGGATATTCGTTCATCATTTTGGTTTAACATATACTCTACAATACCAAGACAAATGTATACAGTGCAGTAGACGTCGTGCCTCAAATTGAATTGAACAGCTAGCCAAAAAACACCTGCCATCAAACTGTGAACGTACCGAGTACAGCGCACATCAACGGGCTCCGCTCCGCGATACTGCAACACACATGAAATCAATTTCTCTTAGACTACCATCCTACAAATTAGCTAATAAAACCAACATTTTATCTCACCCTAGTCCTCGATTTTGATTTTCTTCCGCTCCTCTGTCGTTCTGACATTTTGAGTACTCAAATTAATATCCATGCAAAGAAAATTGTAGTATAAAATAGAGCTGTACTAGCAGCCGACAGTGCACTCGGCTGTACAGTCCACGCACAGTCACAAGCACCAGCTGTTCTTGTAGTAGTACTAGTAGTATTTGTATTTGCATTCAAATCCTAACTGAATTTTTCACCGCATTCAACGATCGCGGTGTACCTTTTGACCCCTCCCTATTGTAAAATGTAAACAGAGATCCATCGATTTTTTTTCTCTCTCTCGTTCTCTTCATTCATTCCCAGCTGATGACCAATGCTTGCCAAGGACACCGCGCGCTTCAACGATCCCCAACAAGAAAAGAATGATTTATTACCCTAGCCATATTGTCATATATTATGTAAATGAGCAAAGTAAAAGAGGTGGACGTTGAAAAAAAATGGCTAATAGTAATATTTCCCATCAATGAAACACAGCGCGGCAACACTTCGCCATGCAGTACATAAAATGTATACTCCTGCCTAGCAACTTTATCAGTGGGTTGATCCATTAATCTATAGGGGGATTACGTGACGCTAAGTAAATACATGTACTGTAACTGTAAATATTAGGGACTTTTAGATTTGCGTAGCCTGATACGTGTGACGTCCATTCAAGTCAGTGCATTAAAAGGACGTCGACCGTAGCAATCCACATTGTCTTCGTGCAAATCTAAAAGTCCATATTTGCGGCTAAGTACAACATTTGCGCAAAGGGGAGGGGTGGGTCACGAAATACTAGTACATGTATTACAATGCACTCCGCGACGATTTCAAACTGACCGACTCATTTTATCCAGGGTGATAAATCTTCGATTCGATTTGATGTCGTGTGACTGGGAAAAAAGGCTGCATATTATTATACGATTTTGTAATAGATCGTCTCAAGAAATATTTGTCAGATCATTATTACATGTATCTGTTTTATAAAAGATATATATGTCCCTTTTGCAACCAACATCAAATTCTGTAGAACTTTGCAGGAATTATAACTACACTGTATGTTGTATGTTCTATCGGTAAAATTTAAACGTTAGCAGTGTCCTAATCTTCAAATTATGCAAGGAAACCCGTTTACGTGCTAGACTTCACTGTCAGACACTATGATTGAGTGACTGACTGGCCTTTTCTCTTCTTTGGTAATAACATACATGAAATGAGCTGTAAAGGGTTCATGAATATTTGTCTACATCAATAACCCACTTCTTGTAATGGCCAAAATTAAACTGATTGAATCTTTGCGCAGCATAAAACGTACGACCATTCGGTACAATGGTCTGAAAATCAGACTATTACTTACTGACTCTATAGCTCTTAAAGGCATCACACCAAGAAAAATCCATTACAACTGATAATTAGAACAAATAACAGATGGATGGAAAGATTATCTCATGAAAAACACGAATAACTTGCTGAGAAATCATATATAGATATCACGGAAAGGCGTAAAATGCAGTTTTGCCAAGACCCTTCTCGGACCTCTAAACCCCCGAACGTAAGCCAAACACACGAGCTGGCGAGCTCGGAATTGTGACGTCACATACTGGACACAATGACCAGCTCACCTATATATATCTACGGCAATTTGCTCGTTACTAATTTTGTCGTTCTTTCGCATTAGTTTACATTTCATTCAGGAGTGTGTCATCTTGAAACGTTATAGAAAACATTTGCGGTATTATCTTACTCTTTATGACGGAATTATAGGCTATAAACGTGGTTTAGAATAAGTTCAGACTAGTAGAATAGATTTGCGTGTTTGACGACTTTAGTTATAGCGGGGCCTGTGACTGTAGCTCAGTTCCGGAGTCGCTTCGGGGAGCTGATGTTGCACGTTTCGTTGACAACACTCCAAGGTGCAGCGGCGGCCAGCGCATCGCCTCAACTCAGCCAGTCAACATTTGAATCAAGGTAAACATGTTACAAATTGCAACTGTTATGATGAAATATTGTTCAAAATGTTTAACATGTCATACTCATGTAACTTTTAAAAATATATATGAATAGATCGAAATATAGCACTAACTAACTAGTAACTAACTCTGACCTGTCGCGAGCGATTCGCCTGGCCTGGTCGGGCGGGCTAGCTAGCTAAAATTCATGACAATAACACTACAGACTACAGTAATACTGACAAATTACTTTCAGTTAAAATGACTGCAAATCGTCGGGAATCATACAGTCAAAGTATATAGTTTTAAGGAGTGATGATATTTTTTCAATGCCGATTGATTTTCATTTGTCAACATGATGAAATTTAAATACCATTTCTCATCAACAAGCCTTTGCGTGGAATTTTAAGATGATTGATTAGACGTTATGTCACTCACTGTGCTATCGATAACATGATCTAAATTGTCTTTCTATACTCAACACCAATACTGACACGGTACTTTAAATCAACCAATGAATTATTTCCATAGTAGCCCTATTGACTTTCTTTTGATTTTATTTTTTTCCTTTTCTTTGTCTTCACATTCAAGCATTGGAGATGGATTTGACAGAAGATGGAGACCAAGACAAGCCAAAGGAAGTAATTAGGAAGAAGAGGAAAACTGGTTCCCGCTGCATTGCATATGGCTGTGACAATACCTTGTATAAGGGTTTCATCATGCACCTAATGCCAGGAAAGATGCCAGTAGGGCAGGAACAATTCGACAACGTTCAAAAACAGTGGATAACTTTCATCGGCAAAAAAAGAAAATTTGAAGCGAAGGATGCAAACACTTATTCCAAGATATTTGTCTGCAGTGGCCACTTTGTGCGTGAGGACTATGAGCAAAGTCAAGTCGAGATGTACAGAAGAGGACTCAGGACCCGGCCCCCTTCCCTGAAGAAGTGTTCCTTGCCTTCTTTGAACACTGCAGAACAGCCGTTCCCATCAGACTGGTTCTTGACTTCCCCAACTTCTCTATTCTCTTTGTCATCTCCGTCATCATCATCATCATCTACAGGTACATGCTCTACCACAACCAGTACCAGCTGTACAGTACCTACACCTGCCTTACACGAACATCTACCTCCTTCAAGTGATTCCCCCAGTCCTCTTTATACATCGCATGAGCCTGACATACCAAAGCGAAGCCGCAAGGAATCCATATACATCAGAAAAAGAGTAAGAATTTGATTTTTAATGAGACTGTTACTTAGTGTTAGTGTATTGTACCAGTAGATTCTAGTGATCATGATGTTAAGTTGGCATTGAGCATTTATGAAATGTTGGTGAACATCCCAGCTAAACTTGATTGTATCAACATTTTAAATAAGCTATGACCAAAGGGGACGATTATTTTTCCTCCCCCTTTTTTCCCGTCCTAAGAATTCAAATTATACATAATCAATTTGATCTCTTTCCTTCTGCAGGATGTCGATGCACTATATATTGACTATGTCAGACATGCGGATGAAGAGCGAGCCCAAGACATTCTTGAATGCTCAAAAGGAGTGCAGTGTGCAGTTAGTACAGGTGTATCAATTCATATCATTTTTTTTGTAAAGTTCAAATGAATGTATATTTATAACAAGAATGGATACTGTGACTTGTCCCTGTCCACCTGTATTTATTCCACTTTACTACATGTATGTTACATCACTTACATGTTAGTTTTTTCGACTACTCGTCGCAGCCCTAGTGCATACAAAGTGAAATATCATGTAAAAAACTAATGTGCATTTTTAGATGTTTTCAATTAAATTATCACATTGATATTTTAAAAGAAAATTACAAACTGTCAATCGAAATTTGTGATAAATCGGGCGCGGCACGAATAATCTCGGTCGTTTGTGAAGTAGGCAAGTTGGCGATTACTACATAACACTGAGCCAACAGGTATTACATGTACTCTCCCATGTGCAAGATGGTATAGGTATCGCACGTCTGTATGCTGCCCACTATATACCCAAGCTTGATCATCTTTAATTATAAAACTGACTGTATTTTTGTGGCAATGGTCTTGCAGTTTTGTATGTCCTTTCAATCTCCTTTTCCCCCTGTTTTACCATAATTTGCATTGAGATTACAACATACGCCATCTGAAAATTGACAAGAATTTCCCTAAATACAGTTCACATTTAAAGCTGCTATTATTCAACATTTGAGGATAAAATTCCATCTCTCTCTTTTCTTTCTCCTCATTTTAGACTGTCAAACAGTGCAAGCCTCCATTACCACCTGAGCCTGAACACGAAGATGACTCTGACTTTTGCTCTGAAGAGTGTTCATGTTGGGAGGGAGCAGATTGTTGTGCACATCAAGATCATACAAACTCCATCCAAGAAAGTCCAAGGAGCATGAAGCGGAAACTAGAAAAGGCAAATGATCAGCTGTTCTCGGTGAGAAAACAACTCGAGACATCTCAGGCTAAAGCACAGAGACTGAAGAAAAAGGTTGATTCTCTGCAGGAAGTACTGAAGACACTGAAGAAGAAGGATTATTTGACAGAAGAGGGGCTGGAAATGTTGGAAAAGATATGTGATGTGCCAGCAAACATAAAGAAGAGATTTGTCAAGTCAAGAAGAAAACTTGATCAGCATCTCAAAACCCACAGAACACAAAGAAAATAACCTTGAACCTGGCTCAAAATACCACTAGTCAAAACATAGTTTACACTCAGAAAATTGTCATTTATTTTAAAAGTCAGCTATGAACAAAAGGTCATCATACATGTTTTGAAAGAGTGTTATATCCCAAATTGTTTGGTACCTTTTTTGTGTGGTACATGTACGTGTTCACGCTTGGATGAACAGGGGGCATTGTTTCATTTGTTTGCGAGAGTGCAAAAATCAACTTGCGCAAAAGTATCAAAGTGAGAGAATTAATTGAATGCATGAGAGTGGTGTAGTGTGACGTCATCAAAAATAATGTCCAAATGTCGAAAGCCAATTACGGTAAATATGTTAAGTATTAGCTGAGATATGACCATCTGAATAAAAACATTTCCTATAGGAGCTCAATGTTATAATGCTCTGGCTCGTAATGTTATGAGCCAGAGCATTAACACTGAGCTCCTATAGGAAATGTTTTTACTCAGATCGTCATATCTCAGCCCATTCTTATCATATTCAATTGGATTTCAACATTTGAACATTATTTTTGATGCTCTTTCGGAAAATGAAAAACAAATTGAGAAATTCTAAAAATAGATTTGTATAATGTCACAGCTGCGGTACTATATTGCATTTACTTTTTGCAGAAACAAATTCACACATACACACACATGCGCGCACAAATGTTCTTTGATATTTGATATGTTTGGCAGATGATTAATTTTGTTAGGGATGTTACTTGGATATGCAATGACCGAATTAATAGCCAAATCCCAATTGTTTCATTCAAACAACACATGTATTACTTTGGCGCAAGTTGATTTTTGCATTCTCTTAAATATTGTCTCCTGTTTATCCAAGCATGAACACATACCACACACAAATGATTTGAGATAAAACACTCTTTCATAAGATGTATAATAATTTACTGTTCATAGATGATTTTTAAAATAATAATCAAGGTGTAAACTTTTTTTGACTCACACTGTACAGGTATTAATCTGACAGATTAATGTGTTTATAAGTTTGTAATGAGCTTGCTGCATGTGTGAGCAATTTGCCGGGTTATGGGGCTAATATGTAACAAGTACTCTATTACTTCTGGTAGTACAGCACATACAGGTATACTGAATTATTGTACTAATTTATTACTTGCCAATGTTTTGCCAGTTTTTACGCTTGACCACTTTTACATTGGTTGTTTATTGATGTTGTATAACTTGAATTGTTTTTGAAAAGAATAAACATGGAACTTAATGTACAACAATAATACCAAGTCTATCCAATTTTATTTCAGGATTGCATGAAACAGGTTGACCTAGTTTCCCTACTTTTCTCTTTTTGCGTTTTTTTGTTTGGAGCCCGCAGTAATCATCTCTCAAAAAATTTAATTTTGAGATCCAGATTTTCTGCCTTCAGCGATCCTCTGTAGAGCGTCAAGATTTGTTATGTCACATGTGAGACACAGCTAGCCATAAAATTGCATTTTACGCCTTTCCATGATATATATATGATTTTTCAGCAATTTCATGGTGTTTTTCAATTTCGAGAGAAAATCTTTCCATCTATACATGTATTTGTCCATAATTATCAGTTGTCATAAATTTTCTTTGGGTGACTACTTTAAGTGGGGAATGTCAATGTTTGATAGCATTAAGAATATTTAGAATTCTAAGGTGAATTTTTGTACAAAAAAATTGTGCATGTTGTTTATTGTTCTTGCCTTTTTCTCTCCATCTGCCTCCCCCTTCCTCTCTCTCTATCTATCTAATTGTCATACACACATGTACTTTAAATGCATTCAGCAATTATTGGTTAGTCACCCGTACAGTAATTAATTCCAAACCACTCAATATTTCGCATAAATAGCAGCAATAAGAATTCTGATAAAAAGCCAATAGTTCTGTCGTCTTAACAACAAGGACATTATTCTATACAAAACAGTCCATACATGAGATGGCCTCTCACCCCAAAAAAATGCTTTAAAAAAGTGTATTTTCTCTCTTTTTAATAACTTGCAACGTCTCAAGTTTAAAATGAAGTCCTTTATGACAGTAGCTCACTGCTCACATCCAAGAAAACACCAGTTGAGAGACAAAAATAAAAACATTCTTTAACAAATTTGGAGATAGCGTAATTACAATAAAGAGAGATGGATTCCAGATATACATGTAGACCACTAGTGGTAAAATTGCAGTTCAAGGGTTTTGGGTGCAAAATATCCATTCAATATTGTTTAAATAATTTACCATTTATATTGTAACATAACTAGTCCAGTAATTTAGTAAGACGTAGAAGGCGTTATAGTTAATTGTGAAATATATATGTGTACATCGTGAGATGTCAGTCAGTCAGCGTTGAGCTGTCGTTGGGACAGGTTCTATATAGTTGTGATCTGTGAGTCAGCGTTGACCTGTCGTTGCGACAGGTCCGTTACCAGAAACGAGTAAAGTTACTTGAACTGCAGATACTGTGCAAGTGTTGTTTCTTGAGTTCCTGTCAGACATTCAGTGATGGCGGGAGTAAGTGAATGAGAGCTAGTCCACGTTATTCTTACACGATATACTTTTGTGAGAGCCCACTAAGAGATATAGTTGATGAATGATTGTCGAGAGCGTGAACCGGGTTTTGAGAGACTGCAAGGCAAAACCGAATCCCGGCAGAGCCCAGTTATGCCACAATATCAATTAGTTGGCAGTTTCCCAGCAAAATTTGTATTATCATGTATTAGTCAAAATATTCTTTCACAAGATACCAATCTTCCATTTTATTTTTTGAGAGGGGGGGGGGGGTTTCCAAAACTGGTCTATACCTTTAAAGATGAGCTGTCTTAACGCCAATATTTCTCTTAATTAGTTTTCTATTTGCTGGATTTGGAACACTTCTCAAACCAAAGCATGTACAGATAATATTATAGGAGGAGGGTAAACTCTAAACAGGACAAAGAAGTTTTATGAATCACTTTCCTTGAAATAATACTAACATGGCAATCAACCCTAAGACAAGTTTAGTGACCCAAAGATAGTTCAACAGATGTTGACAGGAGCTTTGTCAGGTACATGTACTATCATACACTCGTACAAATGATACAATGTACAGAAAACTAGATGGAACTTCGACTGCGCGCAGTCGAAAATGATGCCTCCGTCATAGAGCAAGTTTACAAACCAAAACAGAAGAATTTTTTCAAATTCAAGTTTCAATGTAATCCATTAAAGTAGATATTCATTGATTTTAAAAACTAACTTAATTTCATTATTGCAAAGTTGAAACTTTGATTCGACAAGGTTATCAAAATTCAATGCTTGGAAACATTCGAAGAAATAATTATTATAAATTATAAAACGCTTAAATACAGCCCCGGCATAGCACTCCGAACGCTGCTGAGATGTGTGAGATCACAGTATGGACATGATTTGCACAAGCAGACGATGTCCCATGACATCTCACACATTTTCAGTGCCTGTGTTTTCATCTTCTCTTGAGTTCTTACTCTTACTTCACTACCATCAGGCTAAGTGTACAATCTATTGCCCCACTCTAAACCCCGCACATGGTTTTATTTTGATGACAAATGCAGCAATACAAAAATAAAGGAATCTGTCGCTTGTAAACAAAATAAGACGTCATTGAATATTCAGCTGCACACACCGCGGTATGTTTGGCGTTTCAAGAGGGAACAAATGCCGTCCTAATTTCATTCCTGGGGGTTTTCAATTCAAAAGTCTGGTTTCTTTGATTGTTAATTAACCCCTATCCTGTGTATTTACAAGCAAACGATTTTAGTTATCGGAATCGGGTCATATCCTCTTTTGAATGGTTTGACATGCCATCACATTTATATACACTAAACTCATTATAATTTGACAAATAAAAGCTTTGCAATTATGTTCATTCTCTATGGGATGTCGTCTGCTTGGGCAGTATTGGTCCATATAGTGACGTCATTAAAATATCGTTATTTTTCCGGCGAATCTCTTGTATATCCCAGCTGCTATGCAGGTGGTTGTATTTGTATTTTTATAAGTCACCCGATATGTAGTTGACCCAAAACTTGTACGATGGCCATCTGCTAGCTTACCAGTTTCTAGTCATACATTAGTTGACATATTTGTGATTTTCTTTGAATTTCACCTTTAACAGGTTCTCAGAATATCGTGATTACAAGCAATTTCTCATATACATATATGACCCTTTGATCTTTGACCTCATGACCCTAACATCTACTCAGTGCATTGGCTCTGCAAGATGTCCTGAGTTAAATAGTAATCCATCTGTCAGTTCAAATGAGAATGCGTTCACAAGCTATTTTTGCATACATAATGAGTCAATGACATTTGACCTTTGACCTCATGACCCAAGAATCTACTCAGTTCATTGGCTCTGCAAGATACATACATGATCTAAGTTTGGCAGGAATCCATCAATCTGTTCTAATAATAATGCGATCACAAGCTATTTTTGCATATATCGTCGCTGTTTTCACGAAGTGACCGTAGTGAAAAAAAAATTGCATTCACTTTGCGTTACGATTTTCCTCACTACCGTCACTTCGTGAAAACAAGGACGATATAATGACCCGCATGACCTTTGACCTTTCACCTCGTGACCCCAAAATCTAATCAGTTCATTGGCTCTGCAAGATACATACATGACCAAAGTTTGGCAGGAATCCATCAATTGGTTCTTGAGATAACACGATCACGAGCTGTTTTTGCATACATAATGAGCCCTGTGACCTTTGACCTTTGACCTCGTGACCCCAAAATCTCCTCAGTTCATTGGCTCTGCAAGATACATACATGACCAAAGTTTGGCAGGAATCCATCGATCGGTTCTTCAGATAACGCGATCACTAGAACGGGACGTACGGACGGAGGCATAAAAAGGGAAACTTACATGTATGTGTGAATGGAATATTTGCAAATTTCTCACACTTGTGGTTTAGATTCACGAAAATTTTGCACCACTGACTTAACTGAATCAACAATTAATTTTGCTATGGCTAAAAGTTTCTTGTCATTAAAATTGTCTCCTTTACAAATCAAAAATTTAAATTGAAACACTTTGGGTTTTACAGCATGTCAGTAAGAGGGAACGTTGCTTACCTGTTTCCGAAGGCTCTTGATGGCCCTCTGGTCTGCTTCATGTTGGTCCCTCACATCATCCACTTCCCTCTGCATATTATCAAGTTTCTCATCGGCAACGTGAATTAAGTCCGCAACATAGGGGTCGTCCACTCCAGGTGGAGGGGTGGTGGAGTAAAACTCGGGCGGAGGGACAGAGCAATCAATATCCATACGCTGACGTCTGAATGGAATGTTCTTCTTGCGTCCACCTGTATCAATAAAATGTAAGGATATCTTATAATCAACGTTCTTATGAATTCTTCTTTGAAAACCCTTGTGAGCTCTTTCTTTCTTTGTTTTCAAATACAGTACCCGGTACCTCCACAAGTCAATAGTATGCTTTTGCTTACCCAGGAAAGTACTTAGAAAAAGCACTTTGTGGTCTCTGTAAATATAAAATTACAACTGAATACCAGTAAATATCAATACTGCTCTTATTCAGTTTGCCAAGTACTGTTAACCTTTATACATTTCTATGCAACAACTTGAGGCTTCAGCAATACTGAACCAAACTTTATACTCCTTGCTAGGACTACACAGCATCCTATTTTCCTCCACTTGATCATGGTCAGCTGTAATCGTGATAAATATTTATCATACAAATATCATTTAAATCTAATTCATGCACTAGTATATATATGAATATTAACTATTTTACTAAATCATTTTTTATACAGTAGGCTTGCGGTTGCACCATGTGAGAGAGAGGTAGGATTCGGAAGTCCTGAAAAGAACTCTCGACAATCTTTCTTTCTTGAGTGTGTGTAGTCCTGAAAAGGACTGGTGGTGTAGTCCTGAAAAAGACTTGGTTATTCTTAGCTTATAGTTTTAAGCAGAACTAGGTGGCCGGAGTGGCTCGACGTTTCAAACAGGTTGACTATCCGTCGTCAGGAGCCAATCCTTCCTCTCTCTCACATAGTGCAAGCCTACTGTATATCTACATCACCATGCAAGCCGATACTTATAAGCAGCATGATTTTTGTTTTACTTATCTTGTTAAGACAGATATGTGGTTTACAGCGTTATGTCTGCGAGCACATACGGCACTCTAAATTGACACTTTACCATAATTCCTAAAGCCTTGAGCAGAGCCTAGATATATCAGTCTCTGGCCATGTCAGGAGCACTTAAAGTACAGAGCCTATTGTAATCTCATAGCGCAGACACTGTTGCGCAACGACTGACATGGGTTTGTGCCTGCAAACTAAACAGAGTTTGGAGTCTTTAAAAAGCAAAATGACCATACCTGGAGTTTGGACTACGGCGTGAAAGTTCTTTTCCTGGAGGTCACTGATACGATCATTCCTGGACTTGCATTCCTTCTCCAGGGCTCGGACTTTGTGGACGTATTGCGAGTTCAGGAAGCGCAGGTCCGCATTCTCATGCTCAAGCTTCCTTATCGTACTCTGAAAATTGAAGAAATAAGATAACACTCGTTCAAACCTGAAATTCAGATTAGGGCTACACACTATAAAATACCATTTGATACAAATATAAAGAGGGGGGGGGGGGGCTTGGGGACTCGGGCCCTTTTTTATTCAAGCCCCCTCCCCCAGTTGTTCTTGATTATAAATATATTTAACTGAGAAACATGTACATATAAAGAAAAGAAGCAAGTACTCCAAGCCCTCTTCCCTCAAGCCATGCACAGCCCCCATAACTTTGCCTGACATCGAGTCTTGTGCAATTTAATTACCTTTTATTTCTTGATTCATCAAAAATTAGTTAAAACGCCCAAAGTTTCCCAAAACATAAAATATTACAGGAACTAAAAATACATGGAAGGTAAAACATGAGGCATATTTTTTCCATTTTGATTCTGTACAGCATCTTGACTGATAATGCTTACCTTGAGGTCTTTGGATGTAGCGTCAAGCTCATCTTTGAGACGGATATGCTGTGTGTGAAGCTCGTTATTTTCCCTGATTAGCTTTGTGTTCTCACTGCGATAGGGTTCAAGCTGGTCCTCCCAGTTGCCCTTTTCTCTTACGGTCTTATTTGCCTGAAATTGATGAATAATAATATGAAAGACATTGCTGATAGCTTTCATGGAGATCAGATGGGTCTATTAGAAAATCATAAAATATTCTTCCTAATATTTATTTCCAATTTTCAACCCTTCGCATGTGTTTAAAAATACCTGTAATGGCTTCTACTAGATACTGATGGGGAAAAAAAGTACATTAGCATCAAAGTGAATCTTGTTGTAAGTGTAAGTTTCATTTCTACTCCAATTGGAGTACTCATATATAGAGATTATAAAAATATAACATTATCAAGTACGATCATACGTCAACGGCAATTTGTATTTAACTGGAAGAAGAAGAAGAAAAACATCAAAACTTTATATTTAAAAAAAATCTGATTTTGTACAAACTTTCACCAGTTTGCTTCTCTGATTTGTTTGGTTTTGTTTAGAGAAATAAGAGAACATTTACATGCAGACCTCTAGACCCTACTCCCTAGTTTACCATTAACATTAAGGCTAGAGTTTCCTTTATTTACTGCTGAGTGTTGTAAATGATTCTAATTTTCTAGACTCTAGTTGAATTTCATTTCTAAAATGAACAAATAAAATTATCTAGATTTTGGAATGTAGATCTACACTGCTAATCTCTCATCCTTACTAAAAGGCTCAAATCCGCATATAAAACTAGAATGTTCACCTGTAATTTGGCATTCTTCAGACTTTCTGTGGTATGAATGAGATCACTGAATAGTTTCTCAACAAGCGGCACAGACTCTATACCCAGAGCCTGTCGGTACCCAAGTTGATCAAGCCTCTTACGTAGCGCTGTGTACTTTCTCTCTGGCGCAGTCGTCATTGTGTAGATTGTCTTGCTCAGCTCTCAAATTTCAAAAGGCATAGACCAGCGATCAGATCAGCCACATCGCTGATCAAGAAAAATTCCTGAAAACGAATGAATTGTCAATTAAATTAAATCATAAATGAGGATGATATTATTTCAGATTATATAGAACTAATTTAAATTAATAACTCTGCCCAACGGTAAAGCAAGGACAAGGCCTTGTTATCTTTGAAAGCAAAGTAGACTCTAGTGCGTAACTTTTGCAGTTTTAATTTATTCCCTCTTCCCGATCCCTCCAACGCTATGCTACATACAATCTACATAGGCCTGCATGAGCAACGTTCCAGGCCAGGAGTTCAGGGGAGCCCGAACATTGAAAGCCCGCTAAGCTGCGTGACTTCGACCATAAACAAACTGCCGAATAAACAAGTGTTACTGACAAAGATTGAAACATTTTCACACATTATAGTATCAACATCATCAAGCGTAATAAGCAACTTGGATTATAGATAAACTCACCTATCAAATTAACTAAAATCTCCCGCAATTTCCTCGACAAAATAATGAGCTTCAAATTGTCCGCCGGAAGGATTAGGACAAAAAAATAGAATATAAGCGCCATCTATCGGTAAGACTAAAAGCAGGGAACTAGCTGTCGATCGACGGTCGATCCCAATGATCTGCAAAAACAAACACAAATCTCATGGGAAATAATTACATGTCTGCAACAAAAATGAAAAGAGAAGAAGAAAAATCAACTATAATCAAAATCATCACCACCACCACCACCATCATCATTGATCAGGAGGGGGTAGAATTTGTAGAATTTTATTGACTCTTTGACCCCCTCTCGGGGTATGAGAGTACAAACAAACATAAAAGTATAAATAACAATGCATGACTTATGAATACAATTCACATACATTATACATAGATAATGACACAAAGATAAAAACGATAATAGGTATATAGTGTATGAAAGTACAAACATGAACAATGAACCAACCAGTAAACACAAATTATATATACATGTACAGGTACATGTACAATGAATGTAGATAGTGACAAACTGACAATAATAAAAGGATAAGTATAATGCAGTCTATTTACAAGCTAAATAGTAAACAAAGTAGGTTGTTTCACTATCCTACCGCTACGAGTACGTGTAGGTTCAGCTCTAATTGTACTTCTTGAACTGCTTGAACTATCTTCTTTCTCTGTTTTTTGATTAAATTTCAACATAATAAGGCGGGTAAATCTCGCTAAATTCTTCAACTGAGAAGTGCTTCTAGTATTAAAAAGTTCTGCCATGTGCATAGCACTTAGGAGCTATAGACTTACAACACTTTTTTGATGAATATAAACATCTCTCTCTTTGAAAAAACGGACAAACAAAAATATAGTGAAATTCATCTCCTATATCAGTGGACAGGCAGAGTGTGCACTGCATATCACAATGTGGTGTGTTCGCATCAAACCGACCTTTGTTTACAGGTAATTTATGTGATCTACACCGAAACTTACAGAGAGTAAAAGCATCAGTTTTATTTAGGGTGAGTAAATAGCTTTCAAATATATGGTTGCCTTTAAATATCCTATAATTTGTGCAAATGCGATTTGACCATACTGCATCTCTCCATTCCTGACCAAAAATATCATTTAATCTCAGTTTTAGCAAAGAATTAATATTTAAGCCAAATCCACTATTTTGGCCTAGCCAAATATTGGATAGACCAGCTTGATTAAATGTGTCTTCAAAGTTAACCATGAGGAAGTAAATTCCAAATGTTCATCTTTATGAATAGCAGAAATGAATTTTAAAAGGCATATGAATATTTGCTATCTTTACCTCTCAAAATTCTTGACCAAAAATTAACCATTCTACCCTTCACATGATTCAAAATCAAACCTCGTCCAGTTTCTCCATAAACCATACAGTCTGGAGTATATGAACCTATAGTAACCCTAAATTAGCCACATATTGAGCCAATCTGTGAACAAATTTAAAAGTAGCTAATTTCAACTGATTTGGGTAGGTATGGGTATAGACAACTACCAAAAAAAAGGGAGGAGGTATGGGGGTTGGGGAGAATTTTTCATTAGAGGTCAAAGGTCAATGACCTCTGCCTAAATCACTTAAAATTGTATTTCAGCAACAAAATATGGTATATAGATGATCTTGGTGTCAAAATGCACAGAATTACAAAAGAAGATGACATAGAATAACTACTGACCCTTAGAATAAAATCTTGACCTCCGAAAATGAGGTCAAAGGTCAAAAAACTATTTTATCTCTAAAATTTCATATTTATAACAGTAAAATTACCATATCATATACAAATGAGCACAAACAAATCAAAGAGGCTAATTTCAACTTATTTTGGCGGATATGGGGGTATGGGGGTTATTATTTATTCCAAGAGCAGAGCGGGGGGTAAATTTCCTTTCTGAGGGTCAAAGGTCATTGACCTTGCACTAAATCTAAAACACTATACATTGTATCTCAGCAACAAAATAAGGTATATAGATGATTTTGCTGTCATAATGCACTGAATTACGTAAGAAGATGACATAGAATAACTACTGACCCTTGGAATAAAATCCTGACCTCCAAAAATGAGGTCAAAGGTAAAAAACATACGTTTTATCACTAAAATGTCCTATTACTAACAGGAAAATGACGATATTGTGTAAAAATGAGCACAAACAAATCGAAAAGGCTAATTTCAACTTAATGTGTCGGGAATGGGGGTTATTATTTATTCCTAAAAGAGAGGAGGAGGGGGAAATTTCCTTTTTGAGGGTCAAAGGTCATTGACCCTGCACTAAAACACTAGAAATTATGTATCAGCAACAGCATGTTTTACATAGGCCTCGATGATCTTGGTGTCAAAATGCATAGAATTATACTGGGATATAAACATAATATGAAATGAATTCTTCACCTGGCACCAAAATACGAGGTTGAAGGACAAAATGAGCAGAGGGGGGGGGGGGGGGGGGGGGTTAAAGTTCATTAGTGTCAATTAGTTTGTTTATGCAAAGTATATGTACAATTTGTAGATACTACTCACAACTTAGAACTTACAGTAACTATAGGCAACAGAATACAAATTAATAATACTTCAGTCTGTATCCTCTTCATCGCTACCAATAACTTCTTCTGCATCTATGCTTTCTGTTCCATTGGAGCATTGTCCACAGCACACTCCACGTGCAGATATACATGACATGTCAGCGTTCATACAGCTGCATTTCATGTTTTGACACTGCCTCTCCCCTTCTTTGCAGTTGCAACAAATTCCTTTGAGAAGGTTGTATGGCGCGATACCAACATACAGCATCTTTGGTTTGAGTTTTCTGTTGGAATCTAACTCCCATCCTTTTCCTTTGGGATCAAGAAAAGAGGTGTCAAGATGCTTCCATACCACAACTTAAAGATGGTCACGAAGGGAATGTTGAGCTGTTGCATCTTCCGTTGGTAGGAGGCGGTCAGGATCGATTTTGCCTTTGGCTGCTTGCTTCTTGAACTTCATAGGCAAGAATTTTCTAGGGGAGTATCACAGAGCCATAATTTTGCAATCTGCATTACTTTTATGGATGGGAGTTAGATTCCAACAGAAAACTCAAACCAAAGATGCTGTATGTTGGTATCGCGCCATACAACCTTCTTAAAGGAATTTGTTGCAACTGCAAAGAAGGGGAAAGGCAGTGTCAAAACATGAAATGCAGCTGTATGAACGCTGGCATGTCATGTATATCTGCACGTTGAGTGTGCTGTGGACAATGCTCCAATTGAACAGAAAGCATAGATGCAGAAGAAGTTATTGGTAGCGATGAAGAGGATACAGACTGAAGTATTATTAATTTGTATTCTGTTGGCAATAGTTACTGTAAGTTCTAAGTTGTGAGTAGTATCTGCAAATTGTACATATACTTTACATACACAAACTAAATGACACTAATGAACTTTACCCCCCCCCCCCCCCCCCCCTCTGCTCATTTTGTCCTTCAACCTCATATTTTGGTGGTGAAGAATCCATGTCATATTTTGTTTATCTCCCAGTATAATTCTGTGCATTTTGACACCAAGATCATCGAGGCCTATGTAAAACATGCTGTTGCTGAGTGTATTATTATGCCCGGGAAATCGGGGATCTTCATATGATCATACACCAAAAAACGGAGATACACCTGGCACTGGGCATGTGCCCGTTTTCCAAACCGGCTGGGATAAGTGATCGCGCGCGTCATTACAAGTTTTTAGCCCCACCCTGGTAATTATGGAAAAAATATTATATATAATATATTATATTAAGTAAAAAGTAAAATGTAAGTGAATAAATAGCAGAATAATACTAGAATTAGACTATTGATGGCCCCCTGTATAGAGCCCTGAGAAAATCGAATGAAATTATGCTACCTTAAAGACTTTTGCAGCCAACATCAAATTATGTAGAACATTGCAGGAATCATGAATATGTCATGTATGTCCTACTTGTGAATTTTAAACGTTAGCAGTGTCCTAGTATTCAAGTTATGCAAGGAAACCGTTTACCTCCTAGACTTCACTGTCAGACACTACTGAGTGACGTGTGACTGACATCTTTTTTTCTTTGGTAATAAAATACATAAAATGAGCTGTAACAGGTACATGTATCATTTGTCTACATCAATAACCCACTTCTTGTAATGGCCGAAATCAAGCTGATTGAATCTTTGCGCAGCACAAAACATACGAGGGTCTGAAAATCAGACTATTTACATAAGTGATAGCAGTCCCTTATGTCGATTTGACAACAAATCGTCGTTATTTTCCCACAAAAAGACATTTTCCAGCCCTTTCCTTTTAAAAGAAGATCTAAATCAGTATTATCTTTCAAATGCCATTGGAATTAAACATTGTCATTTTTTAGGACTGCAAATGGGACAAATACCTTTATTAAAAAAGACGCATTCTGAATTTCTGTGAATCACTTATTTTCCTGTTTTCATGGCCTTATCCTCCAGTGGCGGGGGGGGGGGGGGGGGGAGGGGGGAGGTAGTGAGCATAAACTTTTTTGCGTAAATGACCCCGAAAATGTGAAAATCGCGCCGAACAATATTTCGTTCAGTGGGGGGTGGGGGGGGGGGGAGCGGGTTGTGTGATCACTTACTACAAAATATAATTTTTTTTTTCTTTCTTTTTCCCAGTGTTTTTCTGATAAACTTTCACAACCGAAAATAATTAATGTAAATCAATGGGTTCATGTATTTCTTGTATCAAAAAGAGGTTTTCCCATTTATATCTATATTTTATTTCAGTAGAGGGTAGTACCCGAGACATGGCCACCCGATGTAGCAGGCGGAAGAGGAGGAGAACCCGTGATTCAAGTGCAGAAGATGTATGTACATTCAACATGGTTGCATGCTTTTTATGATTGTGCAACTGAACTGTGACTTTATATTACATTGTTATTAATATTTATTGTTTATTGGCTTCATTTTTGTGTTAATTCATTTTATAAAATTAAATCAAATTAAATTAAATTCTTTGTATTCATCCAAATTCACAAGAACACATGGAAAGTTGTCTTGGTCACACATTGTAAAAATACATAAGATATATATGAACAACTATATCGT